AAAAAAATCTCACAAAAGACTAACCCTACAGCCGGCACCAGTGGCTCACGCCTGTAATCCCAGCTACTCAGGGCTGAGGTCTGACAGAGGATCGTAGTTCAAAGCCAGCCCAGGCAGGAAAGTCTGTGAGACACTTTAATCACAGAAAAACCAGGAAGTGGAGCTGTGGTTCAAGTGGTAGAGCACTAGCCTTGAGCAAAAAGGAGCTCAGGGACAGCTCCCAGGCCCAGAGTTCAAGGTCCAGGCCTGGCCAAAAACAAAACAAAACAACCAAAAAAAGATCCTTCAGTAATTCAGGGACTGTGTTGAAATCAATGCCGGCTGCTCTGAGGTTTAGACTGCTCCTTTGAATAGGGTCTTGAGTTTATGCCTGGGCTGGACTGGAACTTGAGCCTACTATTTACAGTTCTTACACAGCTAAGATCATAAGCATGTGTCACTGGGACCAGCTTTGATTAGTTGAGATGGGTATTATGAACTTTTGGCCTGTGCCTTGTCCTGTCTTGAGCTCTGTTTTCCCAGTGCTACAGGAATGACTTCACTATGTCTACCTGGTTCTTTTTTTTTTTTAACTTCATGTAGCCTGTGGCCTAAACTTTTTTTTTTTGTTTTGTTTTGTTTTTTGTTTTTTTAAATTTTATTTTATTTTATTTGAGAACATACTGTACAGAGGGGTTACAATTACATGGGCAGGATAATGCGTACATTTCTTACCAAGCATTGCAGCCTCCTCCTTTGTTTACCCTTCACCTCCCTTCCCAGCCTCCCCCTCCCCCCCACCCAATCCTTTCCCCCCTCCCCCCCCCACACCGACATGGCCTAAACTCTTAATCCTCCTGCCTCAGCCTCCCAAGTGCTAGGATTTTGTTTTGTGCGCTAGTCCTGAGGCTTGAACTTAGGGCCTGGGCACTGTTCTTGAGCTTTCTGCTCAAGGTTTGTCTATTACCGCTTGAGCAACAGCTGTACTTCTAGCTTTTTCTTTTTTCTTTTCTTTCTTTCTTTTTTTTTTTGTTTATTGGAGATAAAAGTCTTATGGACTTTCCTGCCCAAGCTGGCTTTGAACCATGATCCTCAGATCTTAGCCTCCAGAATAGCTCAGACTACAGGTGTGAGCCACCAGAGGGCGCCAGCAATTACTAATATTTTCAAAAGAATTATGTGCTTTTTTTAAACAAAACAAAACAACTGTGTTTTCCTTAGAGCAACAAAAGCTTTGGCAAGCTGGAAAGTGTGATGTGGATCTGAAGGTGTGGGGGATGGGGACTCTGGCCCAGCGGCTTGGCAATGGCTTCCAGCAGTGGTTCACTGTAGGTATGTGTGGTAAGACTCTGGGCATGGGTGCACGTGTGTGCGTGTGGGAGCATGTGTGTGAGCATGCTTGTGCATGCCTTCACTCCTTCCCTTCTTCCTGTGTTTTCCGAGGTGGCTAAGAAACAACCTATTGTTTTTCCTCCTCTTCATTCTTACAACTTGTCCATTTCTCTCTCCTTCCATCCCTCCCTCTCCCCTCTCTCCTCGTTCTCTTTCCCCTCAGTCCAGCCCAGAAACCCGGAGAGCGGGGCCAGAAGAAAGCCCTTGTTATTTTCCCCTAGGTCCTGCTCAAGCCCCTACACCCAGGGAAAGGTCAGGCCTACTGGCTTGAGCTCATCCCCAGCCTGGCCCCGCCCTGCTGTCACCATGACAACAGCTGGGCTGCCAATGTCCTTTGCCACCTAAATTCAGCACATTGGGTCCCAGACTCCATTCTCAGGAGAAAAAAAAAAAGCCCATTCTGCTAGGGACTCTGCAGTTCACAGGAGCTCTGGGAATACAAGACAGGCAACAGACAGATAGACAGACAGAAGAACAGATCTACTGACACAGCCAAGGGGAGCTGAGCCTCCTGGAGGCGCAGAGAACACCCAAGAAAGTGACAGCCCGAGGGCCACGCCGAAGTGAAGGATGCATGAAATCCAACACAGCCTGAGACAGACGAGGAGAAAGAGACAAACGAAGGCCCCGAGAACCCCACATGCTGCAGACAGAAGCCCAGAGTGACAGAATGACAGACAGGGGAGGAGGCAGGCAGCCAGAAGAGGCAGAAAGCAAAGAGGGGTGAGGGGAGCTGTGTCCTGTGCACACGCATGCACCTGCACACACGCACTTGTGCACGCACGCGCCTCCTCTTTGCCCTAGAGAGGCCCTTGATTCCACTTCACCCCAAAGTCATCCTCCGTTCCTTACTCTCAGCCTCACCTTCTGCAGGGCACGGAATGGAGCAGAGAAGGAATGGTGAAAAAGGAAAAAGAAAAAAACAATTTCCGCTCTCTCCTCACCCCCACCCCCCATGTCAGGGGTGCTCTCTTCTGCCTTTCTGTTTCTCCCTGCGTTGCCAAATGAGACGTGACTAACAGGAATAATGAATGGGAACAGAAGAGAAAGGAGGCCCCTAGAGGAAATTAACATAAAAGGAGGGAAGAAGCCTGGTCTGCGTGGCTCACGCCTGTCATCCTAGCTACTCAGGAGGCTGAGATCTGAGGTTCGAGGTTCAAAGCCAGCCGGGACAGAAAAGTCTGTGAGACCCTTATCTCCAACCACCAGAAAACTGTGGCTCAAGTGGTAGAGCGCTCGCCTTGAGCTGAAGAGCTGAGGGACAGCGCCCAGGCCCAGAGTTCAAGCCCCATGACTGACAAAAAAGGAGAGAGGTGGGCGTGGAGGGGGAGAGAGGGGAGGGAGGGAGGGAGGGAGGGAGAGAGAAAGAATCACAACAGTCCAAAAGCTGGAAACAGGATTCTTAGCCGGCTACTTCCTGGCTCGATTGGTCAGTTTCTGAACATCTCTCTTCCTCCTTCCCTCCCTGCCTCCCCCTCACCCCACATTCTTTTTTTTTTTTTTATTGTAAAGATACTATACAGAGGGTTACAGTTACATGAGTGAGGTAATGAGTACACTTCCTCTTGAACATTGTTACCCCCTCCATTGTTTTCCCCCTACCATCCCCTCCCTCCCTCCCTCCCTCCCTTCCCCGAGGTTCTTTTTTTTTTTTTTTGATTGTGATTAAGTGATTACATAATTTCCTGGAAATTCACAGTATTGTGGAATAATGATGCTCATTTAAAGTCACAAGTTCATTCTAACTTTCTTGGAGCAAATTGTCTATCACAGTCTGTAATATATAACGGTGTTCACATGTTATATACCATATATGTGATCAGCAGCATGGGGATATTTAGTAGTGGTTCAACCAGATGAGTTCACCCCACATTCTTATTTGGTGCTAACTGCCTGTCTAGCTGTCTGTTCTCTTTTTTTCTTTTTGTCAGTCATGGGGCTTGAACTCTGGGCCTGAGCACTGTCCCTCAGCTCTACCACTTGAGCTACAGGGCCACTTCCGGTTTTCTGGTGGTTTATTGGAGATAAGAGTCTCACAGACTTTCCTGCCCAGGCTGGCTTTAAACTGCAATCCTCAGATCTCAGCCTCTTGAGTAGCTAGGATGACAGGCATGAGCCACCGGCGCCAGGTTTAGTTTTGAAGTTTTAAGGGAGTCTTAGCTGTTTCCTGTGGCTGGGGTGTGGGATCCAGGATATCTTCTGGCCTCCAGCAATCATCCTGGTAGCCAGGCCTTTCCAGGGAGGGGCACGCTTGGCAGCAGCTGGGGGGAGGTCTGTTGACCTGCTGTGCCCACGTGCGGACCCTATTTCTGGAGCCGTTAGATGGTAGATGCTGTGTCATTCCTGCCCTGACCTTGCCAAGCACTGAGTGATGAGTGCATGTGCCAGAAAGAGCAGGGGCAGGCTTATCGCCCTGGCTCCAACCCAGGCTCCATGGGGTACAGCCGGTCAGCACTGCTTTGCTTCTGTTGCTAATTACACTTCGCTGGTTCTGTGGCTTAGCACTAAATATGGGCTCTAACTTTGTCTGTTTCACTGGCAAGGATGAAAGTGAAGGGTAAGGCCCTGCGCCCGTGGCTCCAGCCTGTAATCCTAGCTACTCAGGAGGCTGAGATCTGAAGACGGTGGTTCAAAGCCATCTCCAGCTGGGCAGGAAAGTCATTGAGACTGTTACCTCCAGTTAACCACCTGAAAACTGGAAGTGGTGCTGTGGCCTCAAAGTGGTAAAGTGCTAACCTTGAGCAAGAGAGCTCAGGGACAGTGCCCAGGCCCCGAGTTCAAGCCCCACCACTGACCAAAAAAAAAAAAAGAAAATCAAAGAGTGATAAAGCTCTCCCAGCTCAGACATTTCACTGCTTTTTTTTTTTTTTTTGTGCTGTTACTGGGGCTTGAACTCAGGACCTGGGAGCTGTTCCTTAGCGTTTTCACTCAAGACTGTTGTTTTATTTGCACCACAGCTCCACTTCTGGCCTTTTGAATATTCACTGAAGAGTCTCAGACTTTTCTGTCCAGTGTGTCTCTGAACTGGGATCCTCAGATCTCAGCTTCCTGAGTAGCTAAGATTACAAGTGTGAGCCACTGGCGCCCACTCATTTCACTGCTTTGAGGAAGTGCTAACTGGAGCTTTTGAGTCTTCAGGGTCAAAGGAAACAGATCAGCATTTTGGACAATTTGTTCCTATGGTTGGGCCAATTACTGATAGGGATGTGGAATAAAAAACGGTCATCTGATTTACTTATGACTAACAGTAAGGCTCAGGACCAAGACAGCACCAAGAGGTTTGGTTCCAGATTCAATCATTTTCCATAGTCCAGATCAATCTATACTAACAAATAAGCTCTGGGAGCTAATGCCATTTTTTTTCCTTTTAATTTTTTTGGTGGTGGGGCTTGAACTCAAGGACCTGTGAACTATCCCTGAGCTTTTGTGCTCAAGGCTAGTGCCCTATCATTTTGAAACATAGCGCCACTTCCGGTTTTCTGGTGGTTAAATTGGAGACAAGAGTCTCACGGACTTTCCTGCTCAGGCTGGCTTTGAACCCTGATCCTCAGATCTCAGCCTCTTGAGTAGCTAGGATGACAGGTGTGAGTCACTGGTACCTGGAAAGAAAAGTTTTTATAGAGACAACACATAGTTTAAATGTTTATTTGAACAAGAATGCAAGAAGAAAGTGCAGCTTCAGCCAGGAAAGCTGGGGGACGGAACCATATGGTGCTGTTGGGAGCATCAAGCCCGGAACCATGTTTACCAGTCTAATGTGATCCAGGGGGGAAGGCTGGGTGGGGGAGAAGCCATGCATGAAATCAAAAATATCTGCAGAGATTCAAACACCTACATTTTCACCCTTCTTTCACCCATTTTCTCCGCAGGGAACAAACCAGACCAAGGGGAAACCCTACCTTCCCACAGCCCTCTACTCACTATGCATCCATCAGAGAGGCTGTGCGCAGGCTGGGGCTCCGGGAGGCTCATTTCACTTCCCTTGGCCCCACTCACGATGGACAATTTAACAAGGAAATGCCTGGGACCCGGGCATGAACGCCCACAAGAGGCAAGGAAAGAGTCTGGCTCATTGAAAGTAGATACAGTCCTCTGTGTCTCCAGGCACCATCAACTCTGTTCTCCATCAGATCCCTGGCGCCCGTCTACCCCTTGTGCTCAGGCCGGAGGGCTGTGGCACTAAACAGAGAACAGGATCTGGACCCGGCAGACACTGGGTCAGTCAGTCCGTGCAGCCATCCGAGACAGCTGTGCTGGCGGGCTCTGAGCAAGTCCTTAGGGAATGGGCAGCTTTGTGGGGTGGAAGTTTGAGCTCTTTCCCTCCCGGGATTTCTCCTTGCTGCTGCCGCTGCCACCAACTCTCCTCCTTTCCTTCTGGACCCCAGACAGCTGCGCTGGCCGGGCTGTGTCGTTTACTGTTCCGCTGCTGGTGGCTTGTCTTCGCCGGCCGCTGGCTTCTCCACCTGGGACTCGGGAGGGATCAGATACTGCACCTCCTCCGTGCTGATGGCCACTTTATCTGGCTGCAGCCACCTCTTGAAATGTTCCAAGGTGCTAGGAGAGAGCAGAAGGGAAGGGTAGCTGGATCGGATCTCCATTCATTAGTTAAACGACAGCTACAGTGCTGCCTTCCTGCCCACCTCCAGTCTCTGGCGACAGTTTTCTTTTGCTGCTAATGCGGGAAGCATGGCATCCTCTGACAGCTGTGTGTCTTGGCAACTCCCCGGCATAATTTACCCCCTGGCGGGCACCCTGCAAACGCAGAGCCTCTCAAGGCTTGATGTGAATAGCTGGAGGCCTGATTTCTCAGTCTTTTTCTCCCTCACAGCTGAAGATGAGGGGAGAGAGACTGTCAAGAAACTCTCAAATAGATGCCAAGTGATTAGCGAGGCAGAAACCTGAGCAGCTTTAAATGTCTCCAACCCAAGGTGGTCTGTGGTACAATGATAGATAGACAGCACTTAGTTATTGGAATGCAGTGGCTTTTGGTGTGTATGTGTGCGGTGGGGTTGTTTATTCTGTTTCCACAGGAAGTCCTCAAAACAGAAGCATCTAAGCACCAAATGTTCCCACCAAGGAATGGCTCTTTTTGCTTGCAAAGGGTGACTGGAAGATTCATGGTCCCACCCTCCCACCCCCAATCCTCAGGATCTTAAACCTTGGAAAGAACACTAAAACAAGCTGGCACCCGCGGCTCACACCTGTAATCCTAGCTACTCAAGAGGCTGAGATCGGGAGATAGTGGGTTGAAGCCAGCTCAGGCAGGAGTCTTATCTCCAATTAACCACCCCCAAATCAGAAGTTAAGCTGTGGCTCAAAGTGGTAAGAGTGCTAGCTTTGAGCGAAAAGTTCAAGTACAATGCCCAGGTTGTGAGTTCAAGCCCCAGGACCAGCACCAAAAAAAAAAAAAAGAAAGAAAGAAAAAAAAGGAAAGAAACAGACTGTCACCAGGAACTAGTTGGGGAATCAATTACCTCTCATCAGAATCCAGGCCATCCACGAAGAACTCTGACGCCAGCTTCTCCTGGAGGAATCGATCCCAGCACTCCTTTTTGGCTTGGGCCAAGGTTCGAAGCATGTCTTTGGAAGTCACTTCTTCATTCAAACCTTTGATTTTCCTCAGTTTCTTCTCTAGCAGGAATAGAAATAGAACTTAGTGCTGGATACTGGTGGCTCACGCCTGTAAGCCTAGCTACTCAGGAGGCTGAGATCTGAGTTCAAAGCCAGCCCAGGTAGGAAAGTCTGTGAGTTTCTTATCTCCAATAAACCACCAGAAAACTGGAAGTGGCGATGTGGCTCAAAGTGGTAGAGTGCTAGCCTTGAGCTGAAGAGCTCAGTGATAGCACCCAAGCCCTGAGTTCAAGCCCTATGACTGACTGAAAAACAAACAAACAAAAAGGGAGCTTAGTAAACAAGGGAATATGAAATAAAAGTGTTAGCTAAAATACAAAGTAACAACCTAGGAATTCTCTTTCTGCTGCGTACATCCACATTGCCCTGAATTGTGTGTGTGTGTGTGTGTGTGTGTGTGTGTGTGTGTGATATTGGGGTTTGAAATCAGGACTTTATGCTTGGTAGGCAAATATTTTACTACTTGAGCCATACTACAGTCTTAAAAGACCCAAACCCTTTTTTTGTGCTGGTCCTGGGGCTTGAACTCAGGGTCTGGGCATTGTCCCTGAGCATTTTTGCTTAAAGCTAGAGCTCTACCACATAAGCCAAAGCTCTACTTCTGGCTTTTTGATAGTTAATTGGAGATAACATTTTGCAGACTTTCCTGCTTGGACTGGCTTCAAACCACAATCCTCAGTTCTCAGCCTCCTTAGTAGCTAGGATTATAAGTATGGGCAACTGATATTCAGACAGGAGCCCTTTTTTTTTTTTGGTCATGGGGCTTGAACTCTGGGCCTGGGTGCTGTCCCTCAGCTCTTCAGCTCAAGGCTAGCGCTCTACCACTTGAGCCACAGTGTCACTTCTGGTTTTCTGGAGGTTAAATGGAGATAAGACTCTCACAGACTTTCTTGCCCCAGCTGGCTTTGAAACACAATCCTTAGATCTCAGCCTAGGATTATAGGCGTGAACCTCCGGCACTCGGCTCAAGAACCCATTTTTTTAAGGGCAAACAAAAGGAGATGGAACATACTTTTTTTTCTTCTTCAAAACATCCTCATCCTGTATTGTATGGGAGAAATGTTTAGCCTCAGAAAAAGGAAAAGTCATAGGTTCTCATAAATAAATCGATGGCATGTTTCCTTCGAAATCAAAGATGCCCAGCAGGTCTCTCTCTAAGGAATGCTTGTTTTCCCTGGCTTGACATGTGTATACTATCATCTTTATTTTCCCACCTCCTTGAGAATAATGTCTCTAAAGAGTCAATGCTGCTTCTTCTTGTTACAGTGACATGAAGTGCTTTGCAAACCTCATGAGAAAGAATTATAGAACATGATGAGCGATCCATGGTTCATAACTGAACTGACACCGAAACCTGGCTCAAGGAGAACTCAATAGTAAGAGACCTTTAAGATCTCTACATGTGGGCTGGGAATGTGGCTTAGTGGTAGAGTGTTGCAGAGCATGCATGAAGCCCTGGGTTCCATTCTTCTGTAGCCGGAAGTGGTGCTGTGCCTCAAGTGGTAGAGTGTTAGCCTGGAGCAAAAGAAGCTCAGGGACAGTGCCCAGGCCCTGAGTTCAAGCCCCAGGACTGACCAAAAAAATGTGTGTGGGGGGGGGAGGGAGAGGAGAAAATAAAAATAAGAATGCAGGCTATCTCACTTACCTAGAGATGCTAAATACACTTCTGAGTCCTGCAGGGGAGCCCAGGGCTTTGTAGCTGGCTGGGCGGTCTCCCTGCCTCCTTCCCCTATAGAACAGGAATCCACAAAGGAGTCAGAGAAGGCATTGCTGGCCACATCGTCCTGTGTAGGATCTGGCAGACAGGAACAGATCTCAGCCCAGAGATCCCGGCTAGATCTTGAGGCTGCATGAGAGTCTACATTCTCAAACATTTTCATCTGGAATCTAGCTGGAAAACATAAGTTCAAGTCAGTAGGGACCAGCTCTGAGGACATCAGAGTAAGTGTGTGCTACTCATGTTTGTTTGTCCATTGAAGAAAAGGAAAACAGGCTTTTGAAAGTTTCTTTTAGCTGGATGCCTGTAATCCTAGCTACTCAAGAGGCCAAGATGTGAGGGTCATGGTTCAAAGTCATTAGGGGCAGGAAAGTCCATGAGAATCTTATCTCCAATTAACCACCAACAAGTGGGAAGTGGAGCTGTGGCTCAAGTGGTAGAGCACTAACCTTGAGCACAAAAGATCAGGGATAGTGCCCAGACTCTGTTCAAGCCCCAGGATGTGAAGAAAAAAAAAAGGCAGCAGCTCAGGGATAGAGCCTAGGCCTTGAGTTTTTTGAGCTCTGAGCCTTAGGATTGGCACGTGCGCGCGCATGCACGCATGCACACACACACACAGTCAGACTCATGTTATAGGGGGACAATGGTAATTGGGTTCCTTTTCTGGCTCTGCACTTCAGTGGTCTTTGTAAATACAATCTGTACAAGTCCAGAAAAACAAAACAACACACACACACACACACACACACACACACACACACACACACACACACACTGTAGGAATGTGAGCTCCCTAGAGACCACAGTCTGCAGGGACTGGGGGCAGGAGAGTTACTGGTTCATGGATATAGTGTTCCCATTTGGGAAGGTGAAGATATTCTGGAGATAGATGGTTTTAGTTACAGGATGATCTAAGTGGGCAGTACACACAAATTGGTTGATAAAGTAAGAGTTTACATCTCCTATTTGTTTCCGAGCACCATTTGCAGCTTTTTCTGTGATTAGTTGGAGATAAGAGTCTCATGGATGGGCAGGTGGCTTAGTGGTAGACTGCTTGCCTAACATTCATGAAGCTCTAGGTTCAATTCCTCAGCACCACATAAGCAGAAAAAGCTGGAAGTGGTGCTGTGGCTCAAGTGGTAGAGTGCTAGTTTTGAGCAAAAGAAGCTCAGGGACAGTGCCCAGGCCCTGAGTTCAAGCTCCAGGACTGCTATTAAAAAAAAAAAAAAAAAAAAAACAAGCCTCCTGGACTTTCCTGCCTATGCTGGCTTCTAATTGCGATCCTCAGATCTCAGTCTCTTTAGTAGCTAGGATTACAGGTGTGAATCACTTGCACATGGCTCTGTCTTGATTTTTTTTTTTTTTTTTTGTCCATCATGGGGCTTGAACTTTGGGCCCGGACGCTATCCTTCAGCTCTTCAGCTCAATACTAGCGCTCTACCGCTTGAGCCACAGTGTCACTTCCGGTTTTCTGGTGGTTTACTGGAGATAAGAGTTTCAAAGCTTTTCCTGCCTGGGTTGGCTTTGAACCGTGATCCTCAGATCTCAGCCTCCTGAGTAGCTAGTATTACAGGCATGAGGCACTGGCGCCCGGCTTTATCTTTTTTATTTTTTTGTTGGTCATGGGGCTTGAACTCTGGGCCTGGGTGCTGTCCCTCAGCTCTTCAGCTCAAGGAGAGCACTCTACCACTTGAGCCACGGCGCCACTTCAGGCTTTTTTCTGCTTATGTGGTGCTGAAGAATCGAACCCAGGGCCTCATGCATGCAAGGCAAGCGCTCTATCACTGAGCCACCTTCCCAGCCCTATCTTGTATTTTTTAATAATCATTTTTCAGATGGATTGCAATGGGCTTCACATCAATCATGTGCGCGTTAGTCTTCTGTGTGTGTGTTACTGGGGTTTGAATAATTCAGGAAATTGTTCTCATGCTTGCTAGGCAGATATTCTACCACTTGAGCCATACCCCCACCGCTTTTTTTTTTAGTCATTTTTCACATAGCATTGCTTGCATTTCTGCCTGGGCGACCCTGGGCTGTTATCCTCCTATTTCTGCCTCCTGCTTAGCGGCTATGAGACGTGAGCACCTGCACCATGCCCAGCTTTCACTGGCCGGGACACACCAAGATGGAAGACTGCCCTCAGAAATGGACGCAAGAGAAGGCCCAGAGCCTGACTGACAAAACCACAGCTGTTTCTCAATAAGGGAAAAGACTCAGACTCTCTCCTCTCTTTTTTCTTTTTGTCCTTCCGCTTCTCTCGCAACCAACGGTGCTCACTCAAGTGGGAATGACTTCTCTAGACATAAAAGAAATCGGGGGGCTCTTTACGGGGGTCTTAGATTATTTGTTTTACATCACCATGCTGTAACTCTGTTGACAAGGAAGGCCTGCTTCCCCCCCCCCCCCCCCTTGTTGGTCATGGGGTTTGAACTCTGGGCCTAAGAGCTGTCCCTCAGCTCTTCAGCTGAAGGCAAACTTTCTACCACTTGAGCCACAGCGCCACTTCCGGTTTTCTGGTAATTAATTGGAGATAAGAATCTCCTCACAGACTTTTCCTGCTTGGGTTGACTTTGAACCTTGATCTTCAGATCTCAGCCTCCTGGGTAGCTAGGATTACAGGTGTGAGCCACTGGCGCCCAGCTGCTTCTCTTTCTTATCAAGAAAATCATTTTGGAGGATGAGGAGAAGCAGGCCAATAAAAGGTCAGTTTTCTTCTTCTTTTTTTGGTTGGCCGTGGGGCTTGAACTCTGGGCCTGGGCGCTGTCCCTGCGCTCTTTGGCTCAAGGTGAGCGCTCTACTGCTTGAGCCACGGCACCACTTCTGGTTTTCTAGTGGTTTATTGGAGATAAGAGTCTCACGGACTTTCCTGCCCAGGCTGGCTTCGAACCATGATCCTCAGATCTCAGCCTCCTGAGTAGCTAGGATTACAGGCATGAGCCACTGCGCCCAGCTTGACAGTTTTCTTTTACATGGAAAATGTGCTCTGTGTGGTATTTTCACAATTAAAAAAAAAAAAGAAGAAGAAAATGTGGAAATACAACTGTCAGCTCTTTTATTTTTTGTTTTGTTTTATTTTGGGTCCAGTCGTGGGCCTGAACTCTGAGCCTGGGCGCTGTCCCTCAGCTCTTCAGCTCAAGGCGAGCGCTCTACCACTTGAGCCACAGCGCCACTTCCGGCTTTTTTTTTCTTTTTGCTTATGTGGTGCTGAGGAATCGAACCCAGGGCCTCAAGCATGCAAGGCAAGTGCTTTACCACTGAGCCACCTTCCCAGCCCTGTCGGTTCTTTTAATTCAAAGTATGTTCTCCTCCCCTCTATACTCTTGGGTGTTATAAAAGACATTTAAAAAAAGAACAACAAGTCATTATCTAGGCTACTGCTGTGTACAACTAGCTGACTTTTTCTCTCAAGATTTTCAAAATGCAACTGCTCTCACCTAATTCAATTCTGAAGACAGTCAGCAGGTCTTGATATCCCATGCACTTAAAGACTGTATGAGTTCTGTTGGGTAAAATGTGTCTGCCACAGTGTAATGTCACAGCACTCATTAAGAGTATCAGCTGGGCTTTTATCTCATGTTACGTGTGTGTGTGTGTGTGCGCGCGCGCACGCGCGCTTACTGGGACTTGAACTCAGGGTTTCTACATGCTCAAGCTTGGCTTTTTTGCTCATGGCTAGTGCTCTATCACTTGAACTACATTTCTGCTTCTGGATTTTTACTTGTTAATTGGAGAGAAGAGTCTCATAAACTTTTCTACCTAAGATGGCTTCAAACTCCAGATCCTCAGATCTTACCCTGCTTAGCAGCTACAAGTACAGGCATCAACTACTAGTGCTTGGCTATAGATAGGTAGGTACTTTCATCAATTTAAAGATGAAGAAGAGTTGGGTGCCAGTGGCTCATGCCTGTAAGTCCTAGCTACTCAGGAGGCTGAGATCTGAGGACTGTGGTTCGAAGCCATCCTGAGCAGGTAAGTTATGAGACTCTTCTCTCCAGTTAACCACCAGAAAGCGAGAAATGGCAGGACAGTGCCCAGGACCTGAGTTCAAGCCCCATGACTGACAAAAATCAGATAAAATAAAAAAATAAAGATAAAGAGGCTGGGCCTGGTGATGCCTGCCTGTAATCCCAGCACTCAAGAGACAGAGTCATAACGGTGGTTTCTAGTCTTGCAAAGCTAGATGATGTGACCTTTAATATTTATCTAATAAATACGTATTCAGATGAAATCTGTAAAAAACAAAGAGGCTGAGTCGACACCAGTCTAGACTACACATAAGGAACCTGTCACACACACACACCACACACACACACACACACCACACACACACACATACACCACACACACACAAATAAAAGGAGAAGAAAGGGAGGGGTGCAGAAGGAGGAGGAGAAACTGAGGCTCTGATGGAAGCTTGCTCAAGTGTCCTGATCCAAAATCCTCCTGTTGACTTGGTACGAATACCCTGCTTGTGTGAGAACTACACAGACGGCAGCCCCGGCTGGGCCAGGTGGGAAGGGGGGAGAAGGGCGCTAGCAACCAGGAAGACTGCCTAGGTAGGACAAGCTCTCAGAAACCCCGGGCGACAGGAGTCCAGCCAGGGCAAGGTCCCCCGGGTCACGGATGAACCGCACCCCAAGTCTTCGGAACACGCGCGACCCAAAACTTTGCTCTCGACCGCGTTCCCCACCTCCTGGGCGCCCGGACCCCGGGCCTCAGTCTCCCCAGACTCCAGGACTGGCTAGGCGGGATGAGTCTGGTCATCGATACTGTCAGTGGTATTCCGGGGTCCGTCTCGAGTAGAGATCACAAAACGCTGGGCTCCCCGGGCCCCGCTCACCTACCGCAACGGCCTGCCCCGCACGCAGCACCGCAACGCTCGGCTCAGGTCCGGAGGGGGCAGCCAGGAAGAAACGGGGGGGGGGGGGGGGGGGGGGTGGCGTCGCCGGATGACGGAGCCGGGAGCCCTCCAATCACTGCGCGACCACGTGACGGGCAGTGCGCTGATTGGTCAGTGAGGGGAAGACGGGCTCAGAGGGCGGGGAAGAGGAGGAGCAATGGGCGGGATTAGGGTTGCCGGGGAAACGTCTTCCTCTTTCTCCCTCTCTCCCCTCTCCCTCTCTCTCTCTTCCTTCCTCCCTCTTCTTTGGAGATCTAGGGGTTCCAACCAATTTCCCTACTGATCCCCGGCTTGGGAAGGGAAATGCAGTTTTGAAGACTTTCTTTTTCTTTTTTCTGTAGGCTGATTTTATTCATTCACACTGGCAATTTGTTCATTCTTTATACACAATTTGGAGATCCCAATTAATAACAAAAAGTTTCCTTTTGCTACAAAAGCTACTAGCCTTGCACATAAATGGGTACCTGCTTATGAGACTATGCAGAGGGAATTTGGTTTCCTACAGCTTCTTTCAGAGAGATTCGAAGCAGGGTGGATGTTTTTGCAAGATACAGACTGCCTGGTTGTGGAAAGATACGTTGCCTTTCTTTGTTCATAATTCGTGCAGACTGATTATCTCTGGCATTCTGAAGGCTTGTAATTAAATCTGTTAAACAATAATTTGCAAAAAATAAAAACACAAAAAGAATGTCAAATTTAAAAGCACAGCCTACATTATAAAATTATGTATTTCAACTTGGTCTAAGTTTACATGCAGAGAAAAAGAGAGTCACTATAAGTTTTTAGAGATGAAATAATTTCAACTATATAAAGAATTATTTTTGCTGTGTTTTGTTGGTCAGGGGACTAGAACTCTGGGCCTGGGGCTGTCCCTCAGCTCTTCAGCTCAAGGCTAGTGCTATACCACTTGAGCCACTTCTGGTTTTCTGGTGGTTAATTGGAGATTAGTCTCATGGCCTTTCCTGCCCAGGCTGGCTCTGAACCACAATCCTCAGATCTCAGCCTCCTTAGTAGCTAGGATTATAGGTGTGAGCTACTGGTGCCTAGCATAAATGTATTATTTGTATCCCCATTTTGGAAGGCCCAGAGTTCAGGCCCCATGACCAGACCCCCCCCCCCCAAAAAAAAAAAAAGAAAGAAAAAGAAATGGTCCCATGGTGAAAAAAGAGAGGCAGACAGATCCAGATTTCAAACAACTTACTAACAGAAGCATTGTCCTCACTGGCAACATGTAGGTCCTTGCAATTTGAGGCAGAAGAATGGAGTCTTGTGTTACAGTAGGAACAAAAGTGACTTCAAAGTGCAAGACATTTGGTTTATCTTAAGCTTATTTCAAGGACATCAGGCAGGCACCTGGGCCTTGGTAATTCCACATCCATTCATATAGCTTCTCAAGGGCTGGGAATGTGGCTTAGTGGTAGACTGCTTGCCTAGCACACACGAAGCCCTGGGTTCCATTCCTCAGCACCACATCAATAGAAAAGCTGGAAGTGGTGCTGTGGCTCAAGTGCTAGCTTTGAGCAAAAGAAGCGCAGGGACAGTGCCCAGTCTCTGAGTTCAAGCCCCAGGACTGGCAAAAAGAAAAAAAAAGCTCCTCAAATCATTCTAACACTGTTCATCTGTAGTATACTGGGAAACTTGTGCTGAAAGAACAAGCTTGGGGTAATCATGAATATGCCTTGTGCCTATAATCCTAGCTCTCAGAACAATGAGATCCGTGTTTTGAGGATCAAAGCCTGCCCAGGCAGGAAAGGCCATGAGACTCTTATCTCCAATTAATCAAAAAACTGGAAGTGGAGGTGTGGCTCAAGTGGTAGGATGCTAGCCTTGAATGAAAAAGCTAAGGGAGGTGAAGCTAAAGCTAGGCTCTGTGTTCAACACCCAGTACCAGCAGGAGTGAGCCATCAGTGCTGGACGTAACACCATTCTTTTAAGTTTGCAATAGTGCCTAGGAGCACAATTCAAATCATAGTGCCCTGCTTAGCAAAGTCAAGGACCTGATCAAACCCCAACACACAATAAATGAATGTAAACAATGGGACTAGGGTGAGTAGTTCAGTGGTAGAGTGCTTGATGTCCTGGGAACTGCAGCATGACAAAAATAATTATGTGAAATATATAAGAACATGATTTTTATTATATTCAGATTAGCAATTTTCATTTTTGTTGGATTTTTGTTGTGTTTTAGTCTTAAATAGATTACTTTCAAGGATTGTTCTTTTAAGGAATTTTTTTTTGGCAGTTTTCTTTTTCTTTTTTGTGCTGGTGAAGGGGTGCTGTTCCTAAGCTTCCCCGTCCTTCCCTCCCCCCCCAGAAAAAGGGGGCCACAGCTCCACTACCAGCTTTTTTGCTGGTTAATTGGAGATGGAGCTTCTCAAAGTTGCTTTTGTTGTTGTTGTTTTGTTTTGCCAGTCCTAGCGCTTGGACTCTGGGTCTGGGCGCTGTCCCTCAGCTCTTCAGCTCAAGGTGAGCGCTCTACCACTTGAGCCACAGCGCCATTTCTGTCTTTTCTGCTTATGTGGTGCTGAGGAATCGAACCCAGGGCCTCATGCATGCGAGGCAAGCGCTCTACCACTGAGCCACCTTCCCAACCCCTCCGGCGGTGTCTTTCACACAGAGATCTCCCACAGATTTCTTTTATGAAATAGCGTCGGCTCGCCCTACTCGAAGGACCTTTTTGTCACTCTCAGCGGCACGCCGTCTCCAGCTTCTCCACTCACCGTAGATTCCACTCCTTGAACGCCAATAGCATCCTCATTCATTTCCCCCCGCAGATTCCCGCCTTAGCAGTACGCCTCGCTGATTGGCTGCTGTCTGGTGACGTCTTCAGACCGCGACCCCGGAGCGGCGGGGCTGCGCCGTGACGCGGCTGCGCAATGATGCGCCCGGGCCCGCGCGCCTGGCTGGCGGTTCTCGCGCGCTGGAGCTGGAGCCCGCGGGCCCTCGGCTTTGCCTGGACGCGGGGCGTCTGTGGGAAACTGATGGCGGAAGCGCTCTCCGCGGGAGCGGAGGCCGGAGGCGGGCTGAGGACCGTCACTCAGCACAACGGAGTGGCGGGCTGCGACGCGGGGCCCCCGGAGCCGGCGGGTGAGGCGGCGGAGCCGGCCCGGGACTTTGACGAGCGAGCCCCGGCCCCGGCCCCGGCCCCGGCCCCGGCCGCCGACGCGGGCAAGCGCAAGAAGCGGCGGGGCGGTGCTGGGGAGCGCGTGGTGCCGCCCCCGAAGAAGCGGCGGACGGGGGTCAGCTTTGGCGACGAGCACTTCGCCGAGACCAGCTACTACTTCGAGGGCGGCCTGCGCAAGGTGCGGCCCTATTACTTTGACTTCCGGACCTACTGTAAAGGCCGCTGGGTGGGCCGCAGCCTGCAGCACGTCTTCAGCACCGAGTTCCGAGCCCAGCCGCTGGCCTACTACGAAGCCGCGATCCGGGCTGGCCGCCTGCACCTCAACGAGGAGCCGGTACGGGACCTGGACATCGTGCTCAAGGTGGAGTTCCTGGGGGTCCACCAGAAGCGACCAGGGAAAGGATTTTTTTTGTTATCTCCTCCTCCTCTCCCCCCCCCCCCTCCCTCCGACTTGGTAGGGTATAGGTGCTACTACTACTACGCTAGTGATTGCAATTTTGGTATTGAGAAGCGTTCTCATTTTCACCTTGAACAATTGGAGTAAGCTTCCCCCACCCCCACCCCCACCCCGGTGAGGAGACAGGCTCTGTGGGCATCCCAACGCAACCATCCCATCTAGGCAGCTTCTTGGTTTCTAATTCTCCTGCCCCTTTTGTACACTGTCTTGCGACAAGGGCACCGTTCACTTTCTACCTGTCATCATAGGTTTCCATACAACTCCCGCCATCGGGACTGTCATTAGTGAGCTCTTACTGTAATCAAGTACACAGCGAAGCGTTTTACTAAACCTGGATGTTTGGTTCTAAGTGACAGTCTTGTGAAGTAGGTATCACCAAGCCCATTGTAACTTATGCGGGAACTAGAGTAAGGTGAACCTCTCAGGTAAGGCACCAGTGCCACTTCCAGCGCTTGTGTTCTTGTGATGACTGCTTAAAACTATTTGTCATACAGCCTAATAGGTAATAAGAGTTTGGGAATGTCAGTGATAGAGACTGGAATTGCCTGGTCAAGTGGTTTGACTCCTTCTTGATTTCCCTGCCCAGGATGGCTTCAAACTGCAGTCCTCAGATCTTAGCTAGGGTTACAGGTGTGAGCTGCTAGCATCTGGCTTGACCATCTTTTAAAATTCTGCCACATCTGAGTGGTCAGCATTTAATAATCTCCTTTCTCATCCTGAAAAACATTGGTTTGGTCCATCCCTCTTTTTTTTTTTTTTTTGTCCGTCATGGGACTTGAACTCTGGGCCTAGGTGCTGTCCCTCAGCTCTTCAACTCAAGGCAAGTGCTCTACTACTTGGGCCAAAGTGCCACCTCTGGCTTTTTCTGTTTATGTGGTGCTGAGGAATTGAACCCAGGGCCTCATGCATGTGAGGCAAGCGCTCTACCACTGAGCCACCTTCCCAGCCCCTGTATGTGTATTTTTATAAGCTGAGATCACTGCTTTTTCTGTGTAAGGAGATCCTCCTATCGGTCACTAAGGAACTGGGATCCTGGGGGGGTGTCTTGTCTGTTACAGGCTGTTGTGACCCTATGGCTTACTGGTTACCTGTGTTTTTGATAGGACAATGATTTCTTGCGGAATACAGTGCACAGGCATGAGCCACCAGTCACGGCAGAGCCTATTCGCCTGCTAGCTGAGAACGAAGATGTGGTGGTTGTAGACAAGCCTTCCTCCATTCCCGTTCACCCCTGTGGTCGCTTCCGACACAACACGGTTATCTTCATCCTAGGCAAGGAGCACCAGCTGAAGGAGCTGCACCCGCTGCACCGGCTCGATCGCCTTACCTCAGGGGTGCTCATGTTTGCAAAGACAGCTGTTGTCTCTGAGAGGATTCATGAGCAGGTTCGGGACCGGCAGGTGAGCCAGGGTTTTGTCCTTTCCATGCCACTTCCTGGGTTCTATATCAAAAGGGCCTCACGGAGTTCTTGATCTGATGTGGACAGGCTTCCTGCTTTCATGATGACACCTAAAATGCCAAAGATAAATTATCTTGTATGTTTCCAAAGCTCTTTAGAGCCAGTTGCTGGTGGCGCATGCCTGTAATCTTAGTTACTGGAGATCTGGAGGATCACAGTTTGAAGCTAACCTGGACATACATGCCAGTCCTCTTCTCAGCTAATGGCTGATGTCATTCCAGCCATAATGGGAAGCATAAAGTAGGTGGATCACATCCAAGTGAGAGAGCCTAGGCAAGAAGTGAAAACCTTTCTCCAAATCCATTGTGAAAACAGGCTGGAGGCATTGCTGAATTTTAGAGTACCCACCTAACAAGTTTGACACTCTGAGTTTATACTCCAGTACTGTCGGGAAAAAAAAATTAGAGATGGCATTGATTGCTTCATTTGGTTGTTTGCTATTTTGAACCTTTAGATTGCTGTCAGGCTGGCAAAGGTTTTTTTTTTTTTTGGGTCTGGTTGTGGGGCCTGAACTCTGGGCCTGGGCGCTGTCCCTCAGCTCTTCAGCTCAAGGCTAGTGCTCTACCACTTAAGCAACAGCGCCACTTCTGGCTTTTTTCTTTTTTCTTATGTGGTGCTGAGGAATCGAACCCAGTGCCTCAGGCATGCAAGGCAAGCGTTCTACCACTGAGCCACCTTCCCAACCCCTGGCAAAGGTTTTTAAGATTTTTTTTTTGGGGTCTGGTCGTGGGGCCTGAACTCTGGGCACTGTCCGTCAGCTCTTCAGCTCAAGGCTAGCGCTCTACCACTTGAGCCACAGTGCTACTTCCGGCTTTTTTTTTTTTTCTTTTTTGCTTATGTGGTGCTGAGGAATGGAACCCAGGGCCTCATGCATGCAAGGCAAGCGCTTTACCCCTGAGCCACCTTCCCAGCCCGGTTTTTAAGATTTTTGAGGAGAGCCTGCTGGGTAAAGATGGCTTGTATTAGAAGAGATTCCTGGTGGTGATTTTTGTCTTGAGACTTAGGAAGGGTAGCCAGACTTATAACCAAACACATTAGAGCCTAATTTACCAAATGCCTACAGAAACCCGATGAAGTAACTGGCTTAACCATCTCATGTTTTCTTGGTGAGTTTGTGGAATTTAAAGTGGTTATTCAGGGGCTGGGAATGTGACTCAGTGGTAGAGTGTTTGTCTAGCATGCATGAGGCCCTGGGTTTGATTCCTCAGCACCACATACACAGAAAAAGTCGGAAGTGGCGCTGTGGCTCAAGTGGTAGAGCGCTAGCCTTGAGCAAAAGAAGCATCTCAGGGACAGCTCCCAAGCCCTGAATTCAAGCCCAGGACTGGAAAAAAAAAAATTTAAAGTGGTTACTCAGGTTTACAAAACTACCAAGAGGGGGCGCTAGGTTTGAATCTTCTCTGTCCTTGGTGCTGTTGTTTGGATCTCACAAGTTGAGGTGTAGTGCTGGCTCTCTCCCTCTTCGTGTAGCTGGAGAAGGAGTATGTATGCCGAGTGGAAGGAGAGTTTGCTGCGGAGGAGGTGATCTGTCGGGAACCAATCTTGGTGGTGTCCTACAAGGTGGGTGTGTGCCGTGTAGACCCCCGGGGCAAGCCCTGTGAGACCGTGTTCCAGAGACTGAGCTACAATGGACACTCAAGTGTGGTTCGGTGCCGGCCCCTCACAGGCCGAACCCACCAGATCCGCGTCCACCTCCAGTTCCTGGGCCACCCCATTCTCAACGACCCCATTTACAATTCATCTGCCTGGGGTCCTTCCCGAGGTCGGGGAGGCCTCGTTCCCAAGACTGATGAGGAACTGCTGCGGGACCTAGTTGCAGAGCACCAGGCCAAACAGGGCCTGGAAGTGCTTGATCTCTGTGAGGGTGACCTCTCTCCAGGACCCTCAGACTCCATAGCCCCTTCCTCAGGGCTGGCCAAGGACACCTCGGAAAAGGTGGCTACAGCTGCCCAGAAGATAGATGGAGTCATTGAGGCAGCCCCTGAGCATCTGGACCCACCAGAGAGGGCATCGGAAACAGATGATCTGAATCAAGAGACAGACCCACTGTGTGCAGAGTGCCGGCTCGTGCGACAGGATCCATTGCCCCAAGATCTTGTGATGTTCCTGCACGCTCTCCGCTATAAAGGGCCAGACTTTGAGTATGTTTCACCCATGCCTACCTGGGCACAGGATGACTGGCGAGAAGACTGAGGAATTGCTTCTTGGGTTGGGCCAGGGGCTTTGGGGCAGGAGCTGACTCTGGGCTCATACTCAGGGTTTCTGTGCGAGTGAGGCTGGGCTCCAAAGAAGGCTCCTCATACTTGCTACCTCCCTCCTTTTTCCTCCACTTAGAATCTGGGTTTTTTTTTGCTTTGTAAATATATCCCTTTTCTACTACTTCTCTCATTTTCTAACTTTGCACTGTGTGTGTGTGTGTGTGTGTGTGTGTGTGTGTGTGTGTGTGTGTGTGTGTGTGTCTGTGTGTCTGTGTGTCTGTGTGTGTCTGTGTGTGTCTGTGTGTGTCTGTGTTTGCAATAGCTGGGTGTAGTGGTGCCCAGCTGTCATCCCAGCTATGAGAAAAGCCTGAAAAGGCCCGTGAGTATCACCACACCCAGCTTGTGTGTTAAGATGGGGTTTTCACTAGCCTTTTGCCCCAGTTGCCATGATCTGCTATCATTCTGAGCTCTACTTCTTGAGTAGAACTGAGAGGTTTTTTTTTGTTTTTTTTGGGGGGTCCAGTCGTGGAGCCTGAACTCTGGGTTTGGGCGCTGTCCCTCAGCTCTTCAGCTCAAGGCTAGTGCTTTACCACTTGAGCCACAGCGCCACTTCCGGCTTTTTTCTTTTTGCTTATGTGGTGCTGAGGAATTGAACCCAGGGCCTCTGGCATGCAAGGCAAGCGCTCTACCACTGAGCCACCTTCCCAGCCCCAACTGAGAGTTTTTCACAAGTATTCTTTACATATTTTGGCTTTGTGTGTGTGTGCAGGCACATGCAGGCGCTAGTACTGGGACATGACCTCAGGACTTCTCTCTTTTCTTGTTTTTTTTTTTTTTTAAATTGTGAAAATACTGTACAGAGGGATTACAATTACACGGGCAAGATTCTTTTCTTCTTTTGCAGTACTCAAGAAGAGCCATTAGCTTTTGCTTTCAGGCACCTTAAGCGTGCACCTGCTTACTCATAGTGAGTCCATGGCAGGTTGGCAGGAATGGTGGGAGGAGTGGTGTGGGTGGGAGGCGGCGTTGGATGCTCCTCCAATGCTCCTTCCATGCTCCTCTTGGTGGACAGTGACCCATTATGTGCACACATTTTTTAATGCTGCAACACAGAGACTCGTCTCTGCTGGACTGCTCTCATGGAGCACACGATGAGATGTCCAAAATACAAAGGGCCTGGTGGTGATGGGACACAATTCTGCCTGGAAGGGCCAGCAAAGATTTCCCACAGAATGAGTCATTTAAAAGAAAGCTTGAGGGGCTGGGAAGGTGGCTCAGTGGTAGAGTGCTTGCCTTGCTTGCTTGAGGCCCTGGGTTCGATTCCTCAGCACCACATAAGCAGAAAAAAAAAGCTGGAAGTGGCACTGTGGCTCAAGTGATAGAGTGCTAGTCTTGAGCTGGAGTTGAGGGACGGCGCCCAGGCCCAGAGTTCAGGCCCCACAACCGGACCACCCCCCCAAAAAAAAAAAAAAAAAAAGAAAAGAAAGCTTGAGGCTGGGAATGTGGCTTAGTGATAGGCTGCTTGCCTAGCACACATGAAGCCCTGGGTTTGAGTCCTCAGTGGTAGAGTTGTAGAGTGCTAGCTTGAGCAAAAGGAGCTCAGGGATAGTGCCCAGGCCCTGAGTTCAAGCCCCAGGACTGGCAAAAAAATGAATAAGAATAATCAAAGCGTGAAGTTGTCCAGTAGAGGTAAGGGAGAGGGAATGTGGGAACATATTACCCTCTCCATTCCAGAAATAAAGGTATATTCTACAGGTAAGGCAAGAAGAGACACACAAGAAGAGGGGAACTGGGCACTGGTGGCTCTCACCTATAATTCTAGCTACTCAGAAGCCTGAGAGTGGAGGATCACAGTTTGAAGCCTGCCCAGGCAGGAAATACTATGAGACTCTTACCTCCAATTAAGCATCAAAAAAGTCATAAGTGGAGCTTTCTCAAGTTGTAGAGCACAAGCCCTGAGCAAAAAGGCTCAAGCATGGTGCCCAGGCCCTGAGTAAAGAAAAGCATGATGGGAGGAATATTTGGCCATTAGCTCCCAGCTAATGGCAGTGACTGGCTCACTCTCACTTACTACTGAACCTTTCTGGGGCTTGATTCTAAAGTATAAGGAATAGAAACAGCTCGGAACACATGATTCTTAACTTCATGAAAATCCCGTTTCCATTCCAGGAGCCAGCCAGCTTCCCTTACACTAAGACCATTTGTAACTTAGGATCTCTGGAGTTCTGGTGCTCAGTAAAAACACAGTTAGCAGACATTTAAGCTAGGCCCTGACTCTAGGGTAAGTAAATGTCCCACCCAGGTTTACTAAGCATCCAAGATGTGCCCCTGAACTTACAAAGCTCATGGTTACATTGTCACACTGAAACGAAATTTACTCCTGAACCAGAAGATGAGGCACAGAAGAAAAAGATCCCAGGGCCAAGTGCCAGTGGCTCACACCTGTAATCCTAGCTATTCAGGGCTGAGATCTGAAGATCAAGGTTCAAAGACCAGCCCGGGCAGGAAAATCTGTGAGCCTTATCTCCAATTAACCACCAGAAAACTGGAAGTGGTTTTATGGCTCAAGTGATAGAGCACTCAACAACATGCAGGTCCAGAGTTCAAGCCCCATGACGGACAAAAACCCAGGATCCCAGGAAAGCAAAAGCAAACAAAACACCCTGTAATGGCTCATGAATACATTGAGCATCAAATAAGTGCAAATGAAGTTAAAAAAAAAAAGATGGCCTGGCTTTTATGGAGAACACAGTAATCTGTGAGTTATTAGTATGATCATGTGATAAAAGGAGGGAGGGTTTGGGTAACTGGTTTAGGCCTGTAATCCTAGCCGCTCAGGGAGCTGAGCATCACGGTTCAAAGCCAGCCTCTATGGGACAGAAAAGTCCCTGAAATCCTTATCTTTAGTTAACCAATAAAATTCTGGAAGTGGAGCTGTGTCAAGTGGTAGAGTATGAATCTTAAGTGAAAAAGCCAAGTGAGAGTCCAAGGCCCTGAGATCAAGCCCCAGAGCTGGCACAATAAGAGTTGGATAACAACTGGACAGTCTTCCTCAAGAACTTCAGTCTCAACAGGGAATGAGTACTTGAAGCTGGATCCAGAGAATGAAGACTTTCTTTTATGCATTCAAATAGTAAGAGAGGGGCTGGGAAGGTGGCTCAGTGGTAGAGCGCTTGCCTTGCATGCCTGAGACCCTGGGTTTGATTCCTCAGCACCACATAAGCAAAAAGAAAAAAGCCGGAAGTGGTGCTGTGGCTCAAGTGGTAGAGCGCTAGCCTTGAGCTGAAGAGCTGAGGCCCAGGCCCAGAGTTCAGGCCCCACGACCGGACCCAAAAAAAAACCAAACAAAAAAAAAACAAATAGTAAGAGAGCTGAAATACTTAGCAATAGGTTTGTGCAGGGATCCCGATGTAGTTAGTTCAGCATAGTATTTGTGAGAAAGAACCAGGATTCTTTGAACTAACGTTATCGGTTGAATTTGGGAATTATATCCCATTACTTAACAATGATTTTTCCGTTGGATCCAGTAGATGGCGCCCCAACTCTTTCAACCTCTTAGCTTCTTTTGAATTTCCATTCCATTACTAATTAAGGCACTTTCCTCTCACCCTTTTAAATAATCTGGCATATGTTGGTTCTTTTTACTTTTACTGGAAAAAAAAAAAAACAACAACAAAACGGGACAGGAGTAGAGTTTTATAGGTTGGGAGATTAGGGAGATTAACAGAAAAGAAAGTTGATAGGTTAGCAAGGTTTAGAAAAATGATGCATCCTTGCTGGTCTCTAGAGATCTTGCAGCCCTCACAATTTACTACTGACCAGTAAGTGTTGGGTTAAACTCAAGAGGGCTACAGGAGTGTCTAGGAAGGGTACAAAATTGGATCTAAGGGGCTGATTAAGGAAGCTGCAGGTTGTGTAGGGCTTGACACCTAAGCTGACATTTGATCCCAGAGTGTCCATTTCTTTTTGTTTCTTCTAGCTATTGCAAATATTTAGAATATCTAAGTCATATTGCCATCTCTTTAAGATTTCCCAATATATTCATTTCTTGAGTTCCTGTCTTCCATCCGCTGTGGGCTGGAAGAGAATTGATTGTAAACCACGTTTTGCAGTGAGACCTGACATTCTGTACTCAGGGTGTGTAATCAAATACCTGGGTTGAGTAATTGAAACCCTTCAAGGAGGAGCTAGCAGGAGATGACAGGTAATCTACAACTGTCTGTACTGGGTTTTTTGTTTTTTAAATTTCATAAAATAAATACAGCATATTCTCCCCCCTTTTCTGCATCTGTGAGGTCAGAAGCTCTCAAGCTTCAAGAATCTCATTCCAAGCAAAAAAAAAAGAAAAGAGAAAGAAAAACCATTAAAAACAACTCCAGTCAGGCACCCGGATGTCGCACTGACTGCACGAGCGAGTCCAAAGGGAGGAATCGGGCGTCCCGGCTCCGCCAATCCCCTTCCGCCGGCGGAGAGGCGCGAGGCAAAAGGAACTCCGACCCGACGAGGATGGGATTCGAACCCACGCGTGCAGAGCACAATGGATTAGCAGTCCATCGCCTTAACCACTCGGCCACCTCGTCCCAGAAGCCTACTCGTTCCCGGCAGCTATAGGGAGTGACAGCCGGGGGACGTGACGCAACGCCGCTGGGGGCCGCCATTTTGTACGGAAGCCCACGTCCGAGGCCTCCGGCCGCCGCCTCGAAAGAAGATGGCCGTTCCTACGAGGAGAGGAGGCCCACGGTGGGGGAGGAACGGAGGACATTCAGCCGAAGACCGGAGAGGCTTGACGGGAACCACGCGGACCCCGAAGCCGGCAAAGAGACACTTCGGGACCGGGGAGGCCTGAGACCGATTTGGCGCGCGGGGGGCGGGGCCGGCGCGGGGGGCGGGGCCGGCGCGCGGGCCGGGGCGGCGCCGCGCATGCGCGACGTCCCGGCGGTTAGATTTGAAAACTTCCCGGCGGCTTCGCCCGGCGCCCTGAGGTGACGTCTTCTCCGCGGCCGCGCGACGACTCCCCCCCTCCCGGCGAGTCCAGCGGGTGGGCCGCGGCGGGTAAGCAGAGCGCGCCCCACGGCTCTGGGGGCCCGGGAGGGCTCGGGGGGGCGGGGTTGTCTGCGTGCTCGGGAGGACCCGCGGTGTGTGTGAGGGTGTGTGTGTGTGGGGGGGCTCCGTCCGCCGGGCTGACCCCCCCGAAGCGCCAGGCCCGAGGCGAGCGCCCGGCGCGCCCGGGCCCTGGTCTCCGGCCCCCCGGCCGGCCCGCCGTGCTGCCCACGGCCCCCCGCCCCGAGTCGTGGCGCCCGCGGCGTCCGGATCGCCCCACCGCGCCACGCTCGGTCCGGCCCGCGGGGCCCAGGCCAGCGTTGGCGTTTCTTCTGGACTTGGGCTTTTTTTTGGGGGGGGGGCGTGGGGGTCGCAAAGCAAGTGACAGCGGCGCGAGATTGATGGTTCCGCCGTCGTCTGGTCCTGTCGTCCGGACCCGAGTCTAATCGGTCTTTGGAACACCCAACCAGTCAGCAGCTGAGCGCCACCGTTCCCTTTTTATCGCTTTCCCGTGTCCGTTATTGAGGCCCAGGGTTAAAGCCCCCTCTTCTTGCTGTTTACCGAATAGCTGGAATTCCGCAAGGGGGAAAAAAAAAAAAAAAGCATTTCTGCCCGTAAGGATAATGTTATTTGCCATCCACAAGATAAAGGATGAACATCAGTGCAGAAATGTACTCTAGGTACTAAGATTGAAACTAAGTGATCATCACCTCAGTTGGACAGGATCAGGTGAAGTCCTCAGATGTTCATTGGGTTCCTTGTTGTCTGATGATTGAAAGTACCAAAGAATCACGAAAAGGAAATAATGAACATATATAGACAAATGTGGTAGAAGAATGTAAAGAATTATAAGACACACTAAAGCCGGGAGGTAGCACAGAAGGACGGCTGATGTGATGGTGCTTTTGGCAGTAGAGGGTAAAGATAGACTCCATGGAGAAGATGGTATTCCATGGGAGGGGACGGTTTATGGATATTGAGAGCTGATATAGGTTGTAAGATTTTGGTAATTGAAGTGTAGGTTCAAAACGGTATCATTTTTCCAGCCATGTGAATGGCTGAAAATGTTTTCAGGATGACATATATATATATATGTATATATGACAGATATCCATAATATATGTCCCTGTATATAAAATGCTTCGAATGTAAATGATGTATTTGAGATATGTTTGATGCCTAATATAATGATGTGGTGGTTCTTTCCAATAGAACTTTCTGTGATGATCATAATGTTTTATATCTTCGTATTTTCCAACAGCATATCCATGAACTCCTGAAATATGGCTGTGGCCTCTAGAGAACTTTAAATTTTATTTACATGTATATGTACATACACATACATGCATATGTATATATACAATATTTGGAATGTCGATGTGTTTGAGATACTGACTAGATACATTTGATGCATAGTACAATGATATGATCATTCTTTCCAGTAGAACCTTGTGATGATCATAGTGTTTTATATCTGTACACTGTTCAGTACTGTATCCATGAGCTCCTGAAATGTGGCTACAGTAACCAAAGGACTGAATTTTAAATTTCATTTCATTTTAATTAATATGAAGATACAGAGTAAGTGGCTACTGTATTGGACTGTACAACTCTAGGATTTACATTGTAGGACACTGTGGAAAAATACTTATTCTAGATACTGTTAATATAAAGTCAGGAGGGGCCAAAGAGCCAAAAGTCAGGAGGGGCCAAAGAGCCAGAGTACTTCAGCCTTCCAGAGCAAAAAATCATTTCATGTTCCCAATTACATATTCTTTGTTTACTTTGCTATTGTTTGGAACAACCTGTTACAAATGTAAAAAGTGCCAGGTGCTGATAGTTCATGCCTGTAATACTACCTACTCAGGAAGCTGAGATCTGAGGATTGTGGTTTGAAGCTAGCCAGGGCAAGAAAGTCTGTGAGACTATTATCTCCAATAAACTACTTAGAAAAAAAATGGACATGGCACTGTGGCTCAATTTGTAGAGTCTTGAACAAAGTGAAGCTCAGAGACAGTGCCCTGAATTCAAGCCCCAGGACTAGCACAAAAAGGAAAACATGGTAAAAAGTGTTCCAGGGTTGACTTGGTCCAATGGTGGGTGTTGGCAGACCTCTGAGTTATTCAGATTAGTAGCTCCCAGCCTTCCTTGGTTAAGTTGACACCATTACACCAAAGGAAATAATTAACAGTTCTAGTAGATCCAATCAACTTAATGATTATTTAAGTCCTAACAATTTAGTAGTCATTTGGTAAATACAAGCATAAATTTAAGTAAAAGACAATATATTTACTTTCTTTCACTAAATAATTCCAATAAGCAATTGGTTATGTGTGCCTCTGGAACATTGCACATACTTCTCAAACTTTGGAATCACCCTCATTTCCTGCAGCATTTTGATTAAAAAAGTAAAAGTACTAATTTTTACTCATACCAATTGCTAAATATTTTGGTTCCTGATGATGTTATTAAAATAAATGTAATGCAGATAGACACTATTTTTAGCTAGCAGTTCACACAGCTCCTGGAAGATGTTGAGAATGGTTGTGTGTTTCAAAAGCTTAAAATATCGGGGCTGGGAAGGTGGCTCAGTGGTAGAGTGCTTGCCTTGCATGCATGAGGCCCTGGGTTCGATTCCTCAGCACCACATAAGCAGAAAAATCTAGAAGTGGTGCTGTGGCTCAAATGGTAGAGTGCTAGCCTTGAGCTGAAGAGCTGAGGGATAGTGCCCAGGCCCAGAGTTCAGGCACCATGACTGGCAAAAAAAAAAAAAAAAAGCTTAAAATATCCAAATACTTCTATCATATGCTGTGCCTATTGCGCCATTTGGGAGCCAATCAGTAATCAATTGATATGGCAGTAATCAAGGTTTCAACCATGACAACATTTTATTTTATTTATTTATTTATTGGGTCCGGTCTGGAGCCTGAACTCTGGGCCTGGGCACTGTCTCTCAGCTCTTCAGCTCAAGGCTGGTGCTCTGCCACTTGAGCCACAGTGCTACTTCTGGCTTTTTTTTTTTCCTTTTTGGTTATGTGGTGCTGAGGAATGGAACCCAGGGCCTCATGCATGCAAAGCAAGCACTCTACCACTGAGCCACCTTCCCAGCCTCCATGGCAACATTTTATAAATAAGACTTAACATGATAGTCTGGGGGGGGGGGTGTCTCATATTTCTTTTGAGGGTGGAGTGTACATTTATGCAGTACATAAATATTAAGAGGGTGGAATTCATTAAACATTGAATCTCACCAGACAGTTAAATATGTAGGTTGGGCAGTCACTTTCAAAGAATGTTTAGGTGACCTTTAGTTGACAGTATTTAGTTGTTTTTTTTTTTTTTTTTTTGGGTCCGGTCGTGGGGCCTGAACTTTGGGTCTGGGCGCTGTCCCTCAGCTCTGCAGCTCAAGGCTAGCACTCTACCACTTGAGCCATAGCACCACTTCCGGCTTTTTTTTCCTGCTTATGTGGTGCTGAGGAATTGAACCCAGGGCCTCATGCACGCAAGGCAAGCACTCTACCACTGAGCCAACTTCTCAGCCCCAGTATTTTTAGTATTTTTATATTTAGTATTTTTGTCTCTGAATTTTGAATATGGGTATTAAGGTTGAAAATATTCTCAAAGGAGACAAATATGCAGGTTAGTAGTCATAAATGTAACTTTCTTTTGGCTTGTAGCTTTGGGGATTAATTTTTTTTTTTCCTTGCCAGCCCTGGGGCTTGAACTCAGGTCCTGGGCACTTCCCTGAGCATCTTTTGCTCAAAGCTAGCGCTCTACCACTTGAGCCACAGTTCCACTTTCAGCTTTTTCTGTTTATGTGGTAGTGAGGAATAGAACCCAGGGTTTTGTGCATGCTAGGCAAGCAGCACTCTACCACTAACCCACATTCCCAGTTCCTGTAATGGTGAAATTTGCCTGTTATTTTTAATTTCTTCCACTGTCCATGTGTGCGTAAATGTATGTATATATGATAGAGGTAGTTACAGGAAAGGGAACTAAATTTTCATCTCCCAGGGTTGGAAGACCATTTAATGCCTAACATCCGAAAAGGTCAAAGCCGGGCACCGGTGGCTCACACCTGTAATCCTAGCTACTCAGGAGGCTGTGATCTGAGGATCATGTTCAAAGCTAGCCAGAGAAGGAAAGTCCATGAGCTTCTTATCTCCAGTTAACCACCAGAAAACTGGACTGGAGCTGTATGTAGCTCAAAGTGGTAGAATGTTAGCTTTGAGCAAAAGGAGCTCAGGGATAGCACCCAGGCCCTGAGTTCAACTGCCATGACTGACAAAAAGAAAATCTATAATAAATTTTTAGTGAAAAGTTAAAGTGGTTGCCTTTGACAACAAAAAGCAACAATCATTATCTGGGTTAATGGTAAAGAGCTTGTGCTTACCCTTGTACAAGTTTTATTCAATTAAATACCCCCAGCATCAATCCACATACAATCAATCCTCAGAGCATCTATAACTAGTCTCATACTGGTTCCTTATACTGTCTCCTTAAAAGATAAAATAAAAAGTATTGTTTTAAATAGATGTGTGTTATTTGTGAACAGCATATTACTGAAAATAGAAAAGTGGATAAACATTCTGAGAAAGTGATAAGAGTTCAACAAGAGAGACTCAGAAGTCAAATCTTACTATGTGCATCACTGAATCTATACTGAAGCTAACTGAATTCACTGGTATTAAAAAATAAGCAGAGTGGGGGCTGGAGACGTAGGTCAGTAGTAGTACTCATATGCATAGGGTCCAGGGTTTCATATATAGCACTGCAAAACAACAAAAACAAAACAAACTTACTTTGGTTTGAAGTTCAGATTTATTATGAAACACTGTTTTCCAATTTGGCTTTTGTTATACCTGACAAAAGCATGTAAAATAAGATGTATATCTTTTAGGTGCCTATTTTTTTCTACTTGTTACTAAAAGTAAGACTGTCAATTGTAACAGTTTATGAATTTAGTGTTATAGTAGAAATGGTAATAGTAATTGAGTCAAAATTTCTAATTACTTAGGTCTGAGAATTTTCCAGGAGTTTTTTTGTTGTTGTTGTGGTTAGTTTTTTGTTTGTTTTTTTGGTAGGTCGTGGGGCATGAACTCAGGGCCTGGACATTGTCCCTGAGCTTTTTTTACTCAAGGCTAGTGCTCTACCACTTTGAGTCACAGTGCCATTTCTGGTTTTCTGGTGGTTAATTGGAGATAAGTCTTACAGACTTTTCTGCATGGGTTAGCTTCAAACCTTGATCCTCAGATCCCAGCCTCCTGAGTAGCTAGGATTGCAAGGAGTCAGCCACTGGTGCCCAGTTTTCAGGATTATTAATTAGCATACAGAAGTTTAAAATTTCTTAAATGGCTCATGTTTTAGAGGTCATAGTGTGATTTTTTTTTTTTTTGGGGGGGGGGGGGTCTGGTCGTGGGGCCTGAACTCTGGGCCTGGGCGCTGTCCCTCAGCTCTTCAGCTCAAGGCTAGCACTCTACCACTTGAGCCACAGCGCCACTTCCAGCTTTTTTCTTTTTGCTTATGTGGTGCTGAGGAATTGAACCCAGAGCCTCAGGCATGCAAGGCAAGCGCTCTACCACTGAGCCACCTTCCCATCCCCCATAGTGTGATTTTTCATCGCTAATTTTGATCTTCTCTTGCAAAGTAACTCCAAAGGCACACTATGTTCCTAATTGCTTCGTAGATTGTGATTTCTCTTCCTTTTTCTTTGCCTTTTTCAGATATTGTGTATTTGTTACAGAAAAAGTTTTCTTCAAATATGGATGGGGTATCTTCGGTGGCTACTGAAGAAAGGTAAGTTGATTCAGAGCAGATGAAGATGTTATCCTCTATTATTAGGGTGTTTTAGACCAGGCAGGAAGGAGCTCTTGGGGTCATTATTAGTCTCCACGCTACCTGGTGTTTTTTTTTTTTGGTTTTTGAGTCAGTCCTGAGGCTTGAACTCAGGGCAGGGCCTGAGTGTTGTCCTTGAGCTTCTTTTACTCAAATCTAATGCTCTACCATTTCCAGCTTCTTGTGGTTAATTGGAGCTAACAATCTCAGGGACTTTCCTGCCTGGGCTGACTTTGAACCTCCATCCTCAGATCTCAGCCTCCTAATTAGGATTACAGACATAAGCCACTGGCTGCCACTACCTTTTTCTTTTCCTTTCTTTCTTTCTCTCTCTCTTTCTTTCTTTCTTCCTTCCTTCCTTCCTTTCTTCCTTTCTTTCTTTCTTTTTCTCTTTTGTCAGTCATGGAGCTTGAACCCTGGGCTTGGACACTGTCCCTGCCCTCTTCAGCTCAAAGCAAGCACTCTGCCACTTGAGCCACAGTGCCACTTCTGGTTTTCTGGTGGTTAATGGGAGATAAGTCTCAGACTCTCCTGCTTAGCCTGGCTTGGCTTGAACCTCCATCCTCAAATCTCAGCCTCCTGAGTAGCTAGGGTTACAGGCTTGAACTACTTGCATCAGGCTTCTGATTGTTATTTTAAAAGATAGTTTTATATACAATGTCTTTTTTTTGGGGGGGTCGGGGGGAAGGGGGTCAGTCCTGGGCTTAAGCTCAGGGCTCTGAGCTGTTTTGCTCAAGGCTAGTGCTCTATCAACTTAGAACTACAGCACCACTTCCAGTTTTCTGGTGGTTAATTGGGGATTCCAATCTCATGGACTTTCCAGCCTGGGTTGGCTTTGAACCACAATCCTCATATCTCAGCCTCCTGAGTAGCTAGGATTACAAGCATGAGCTGCCCAGCTTCTAAATACTGAATTTTTTATTTTTATTTTTTGCCAGTCCTGGGTTGATCTCTAGGTCTGGGCATTGTCTCTGAGCTTTTTTCTTCAAGGCTAGCACTCTACCACTTGAGCCACAGCCCCACTTCTGGCTTTTTATCTTTATTTGGTACTGAGGAATGGAACCCGGGGCTTCATGCATGCGAGGCAAGCACTCTACCACTAAAGCTACATTCCTGGCCTGTTAAATACTGAATTTTAAGTCTCATACTATAATATAAATTTTGCTAGCTAGAGTGCTAAATTAAAGTGATGTACTGTTTAGAAGTGTGTAAGGAATGATGGGATGAGAGCTTCTAGAAAGCAGTTTATTTATGTAACATTGTTTTTCTCCTTTTTTTTAGAGACAATATGGAGAGATCTGTTAGAAGACGTCATTCCTCAGTAAGAAGCTCTTAAACTAATAATTGTTGCATTTTATCGAACAACTCTATGCTGTAATTTTATTGTTGTTGTTGTTGTTATTGGTTGTGGGGCCTGAACTCTGGGCCTAGGCGCTGTCCCTCAGCTCTTCAGCTCAAGGCTAGTGCTCTACCACTTGAGCTTTTTCTGTTTATGTAGTGCTGAGGAATTGAACCCAGGGCCTTTTGCATGCAAGGCAAGCACTTTACCATTGAGCCACCTTCCCAGCTCCTGTAGTAATTTTAACTGTGATATTACTTTCCCATCACCACTGGCTTCTTGTTGTTCTCAGAATAAAAACAAGGGCTGGGAAGGTGGCTCAGTGGTAGAGCGCTTGCCTTGCATGTATGAGGCCCTGAGTTCGATTCCTCAGCACCACATAAGCAGAAAAAAAAAAACTGGAAGTGGCACTGTGGCTCAAGTGGTAGAGTGCTAGCCTTGAGCTGAAGAGCTGAGGGACAGCGCCCAGGCCCAGAGTTCAGGCCCTATGATCAGAACCAAAAAAAAAAAAAAGAATAAAAACAAATGTTTAACCTAGTTGCACAATTAATTACAATTCATGCTTTACAAATTTTAATTAATTTTTAGTATGTATTATACAAAATAATAGGTTTCATGTGACAGTTCTATGTATGCTAAATTAATGAATTTTATGCTACATATAAATTATATATTGTTTATTACAAATGTTTAAAATACATTTAAAATATTTTGCAGCTTAAGGATATATTTGCTTGACTGGTATAATGGCATACACCTGTAATCTCAGCTCTTAGGAGTATGAGAAAGGAGAGTTTTAAGTTTAAGGCCAGTCTTGGCTGTTTGAATGATTCTCTATCTCAACAGACAAATTTGCCAGGCCTTTTGGCATACACTTACAATCAAAGCGTAGAAATCCAACTCCAGTGATTAAACACAAAACGTACGTCGAATTGTAGGCAAAACTCACTGACCAGGGAATGCAACGGTGTCACTCTACTAGGATTTCCATTCTCTTTTTTATTCTGTTTGTTGCTTTTGAACTGTTTTTGCTAGCAGGCAGACTCTCTCCTGTGATTCCTTTGTACATTTAGCTCTCCTTACTTTCAGGTTCCAGTTCTATTTAGGGAGTATTCTATTTAGGAATATTCATTTCCTCAAGTGAGAAAAACAGAGGACTCAGAACTGAATCGTGGTAGCACTTTGATCCTGTTCGGATTAAGTTTTCATTCCTGAGCCAATCATTATTAGATTGCATGAGATGAGTTTGTGCAAATAAACATCTGGGATTGTGGACTGGGAGAAGGAATTGATAGCAAGTATTTAAACTTTTTACTTTTTACTCTGAGCAATATGACTTTGAGGAGTTCAACATTGTCATGGAAATTTTAGCTGTCCACTTAGTTTATAATTGGAAATAAGCATAGTATTAATAGCAATCCTATTGCCTCTAGATTTTGAAACCCCCAAGGAGTCCTCTTCAGGATATCAGAAGTGGGAATGAAATAGTTCAGGTAAGTGTCTAGTAGTGCAAATGCTGAATAGATTACAATTTTCCATGACTTTTTTATTACTTATTTATTAGCATATCTTGTACAATTGTAGTTATACAAGAGGGTTTCACTGTGATGTTTCCATATATACACTATATATATACACTATCAAACTCATGCCCTCTATTACTTTCCCTTGTCTTCATCTCCCTCTGTAAAACAATTTCAACATTGTTCAATGTTCTGTTTTCATATGTACCTGGACCTCCTGTCCCCCAACAAAGACTGATTTACTTATTTTTTGGGGGGCAGTTGTAGGGCTTGAACTCAGGGACTGGCTGTTTTTGTTGAGCTTTTCTGCTCAAGGCTAGTGCTCTGCCACTTTGAGCCATAGCTCCACTTCTGGTTTTTGAGTGGTTAATTGGAGATGAGATTCTCACAATGACTTTTTTGCCTGGGCTTTGAACTGGGATCCTTAGATCTCAGCCTTTTGAGTAGCTAGGATTACAGTGCCACCAGTACCTGTATGATTTACTTTCTATTTTTTAAAAAATTATGTATTTTTATTTTTACTTTTTGGCCGGCTGTGGGGCTTGAACTCTGGTCTTGGGCGCTCTCCCTTAGCTCTTCAGCTCAAGGCTAGCATTCTACCACTTGAGCTACAGCGCCACTAATGGTTTTCTGGTGGTTTATTGGAGATAAGAGTTTCATGGACTTTCCTGCCAGGGCTGGCTTTGAACAGCGATCCTTAGATCTCAGCCTCCTGAGTAGCTAGGATTACAGGCGTGAGCCACCGGCACCCAGCTGATTTACTTTCTTTAGTTTTTTTTTTTTGTTGTTGGTTGTGGGTCTTGAACTCTGGGACTAGGCCCTATCCCTCAGCTCTTTGGCTCAAGGCAAGCACTCTACCAGTTGAGCCACAGAGCCACTTCTGGTTTTCTGGTGGTTAACTGGAGATAAGAGTCTCATGGACTTTCTTGCCTGGGCTGGCTTTGAACCACGATCCTCAGATGTCAGCCTCCCGAATACATAGGATTATAGGCATGAGCCACCAGCGCCCGGCCTTCAGTGATAATTTTTAATCAGAATTTTTATAAGCTATATAAGGAAAGAAAATTATAAATGATTTCCACTTAAATGTGTGCAACTCAACGTTTCATAGCTTTCAGATTCAAATGGAAGCATTTGAGAGATAGGGATGAAACTCTGAAAGAACAGTTATCTAATAGCTGTGATTTTCAGCCCTGCATTTACAAAAAACCAGGTATGGTGGTACATGCCTGTAATCCCAGCTAATCAGAGCAAGAAGGATTTAGAGTTCAAAGCCTGCCCAAGTAAAGGTATCTCAAAAGCAAAATGAAAACAAAAGGGCTAGAGATGTGTTCAAGTGGTGGAGTGCTTGCCTAGAATATATGATTTTGAGTTCGATCGTTAGTACTGCAGAAAAAAAGTTCCAAATACGGGAATATGCTGACATTTATGATTTTAAGCCCTAGTTTTTTTTTTCCAGGCTTCTATTTTTGACATTCACACATGTATTATTCTCTGAACAAGATAAACTGCCGTTTATTTATTTATTTTTTTGTCGGTCGTGGGCCTGAACTCTGGGCCTGGGCACTGCCCCTCAGCTCTTCAGCTCAAGGCTAGCGCTCTACCACTTGAGCCACAGCGCCACTTCCGGCTCTTTTCTTTTTGCTTATGTGGTGCTGAGGAATCGAACCCAGGGCCTCATGCATGCAAGGCAAAGCGCTCTACCACTGAGCCACCTTCCCAGCCCTGGAACCTCATTCTTATGTCTAACTTTTCATTAATTTTTTTTTTTTTCCAAACATACCAAAAAGTATGTGGCAGAAAGAATCACACCTGTAATTCTTAGCTACTCAGGAGGCTAAGATCTGAGGATCATCATTCAGTGCCAACCCAGTCAGGAACATCTGTGAGACTCCTACGTCCAATTAACCACCAGAAAATAGGAAGTGGTGCTATGGCAAAAATGCTCAGGGCTAGCTCCCAGGCCCTGAGTTCAAGCCCCATGACCAACCAAAGGGAAAAAAAAAAAAAAGGTCTTACATTGAGTGCTCCTATATTCATCACCTAGGTTCCACAGTTAATGTTTTTCTATGGTTCCTTTATCAATCTATAGTTTTCCTTAATTCCTATTTGTCCTTCAAGACTCAGTTTTGATGCTGTTTCTCAGAAAATCATCACATAATTCTTTATTTGTGTCCATTCTGAATTGAGAAATCTGTAAGGTCAGAAAATTTATTTTTGTATTATTATGTCTCAGATATATCATTGGCTTGTTTTTAGTTATTGATTCAATGCATCTTTAATGCTTTTGGAGACCCCGTATTTCTAAGTAATCATTCTTTTTGGATCTCAAGTGATAGAGTGTTTATGTAACATGTGTAAGGCCCCAATTTCAAAACCCAATACTATAAAAATAGAATTATTTTAGAATGATATGTGTGACAAGATCCATGTAATCAGCAAAAGTATAATTGTTAATATAATTGCCAACATATCTCTTATTTTTTCACCAGTCTTTTTTGTTACATGTTCTTTGTGCCAATATGCTTATTTTGTCTCCCATTCAAAATTGTTTATGTGAGGCCAAAGTTCCTTAGCACTTCAAAAAAATATTTGGAAAATCATATGTTCATTAAGTTTCATTAATGGGAATGTTAATCTAATGGGAACATTGGGATATTTGAGGGGAATCATAATTCTGAATAAAACTTCTGTCTCTCACTCTGAAGACCTAATTCACATTGGGTGCAAAAAGAATCCAACCATACTGTTCTCTCCTGTTAGGAATCCAATACTTTGAGAAATAGGAAAAGCTCTCGCCGAGTCAGCTTTGCAGATACTATAAAGTAAGTTGAAAGATTAAATATTAAAATGTTACACGAAATGCTTTATTTCTTGTAAAATCATATTTTGGTACTAGCTGGTATTAATAATTTGTTTTGATTAAGCAACATTAGAGCATTATTATTTAAGTGGTTCTTATTAAGTTGTGTTTAAATAGAAGGATAATATTCCCATATCCATTTCCACTGTTATTTAACATCATATTGGAGATATTTATTTATTTATTTATTTATTTTTGATTGTGGGGCTTGAACTCAGGGCCTGGGCATTGTCCCTCAGATTTTTTGCTCAGTACTAGTGCTCTACCACTTGGAGCCACAGCACCACTTCTGTACTGCAGATTTTAATCAGCAAAACTAGCAAAAGAAATGAGAGATACAAAATTTGAAATAGGGGTTAAACCTATTACCTTTTCCTATTAAATGTACCCCTGCTGTTTTGGTTTGGTTTATTTTATTTTGTTTAGCAGTAGTAGGGTTTGAACTTAGGTACTCATGCTAGCTTAGTAGGTACTCTACCACTTGAGCCATGCCTAAGCTTTCTTTCGCATTTTGGAGATGGAGTTTAGAGAATTTTTCTGCCTGAGCTGGCCTCAGATTGCTATCCTCCAGACCATAGACTCCTGAGTAGCTAGGATTACAAACATGGAGCCTGGCTTCTCCTTTCAGTTTTGTCTTCATTCTACAATTGCTGTAATTTCTTTCTTCTGCTTTTTTTTTTTTTTTTGGTTCTGGGTCTTGAACTCGGCTTGGGCGCTGTCCCTCAGCTTTTCAGCTCAAGGCTAGTGCTCTACCACTTGAGCCACAGCGCCACTTCCAGTTTTCTGGTGGTTATCGAAGAGTCTCATGGACTTTCCTGCCCAAGATGGCTTTGAACCGTAATCCTCAGATCTCGCCTCCTGAGTAGCTAGGATTACAGGTGTAAGCCACAAGAGCCTGGCTTCTTCTGCTTCTTTCATAAGTATTACCTATGTGTTTCATTTCCTGCTACCTTATCATCTCTTCCTTGAATTCTTGTGTTTCTGCTTTATTTTCTTTTTTGTCCATTGTGGGGCTTGGCTGCTGTCCCTGAGCTTTTTCACTGAAAGCTAGCACTCTACCACTTTGAGCCACAGCACCACTTCTGATGGTAAATTGATGATAAGAATCTCATGGACTTTCCTGTCTGGGCTGTCATTGAACCACAGTCCTCAGATTTCAGCCTCCTGAGTGGCTAGGATTACAGGTGTGAGCCACCAGCCACACAGCTGCTTTGTTTTCTTCATAGAGGTAATTGCTTTCTTTTTCTTATTGTTGTTTGTGTCTGCACTAGGGCTTGAACTCAGCCAGGGAGCTTTCACTTCGTTTTTGTTTTTGTTTTTCTAAAGGGAAGAGGATTTATTTTGACAAGTGGTTTGAGGTGGTGGTTGTCTGGTTCCATTGTTTCTGGACCTGTGTTGAGGCACAGCATCATGGCCAAAGGATGTAGTAGAACAGAGAGCTTACTAATGCCAACCAGGAAGCAGAGAGAGTAAGGACTGTACTTTTCCTTAATTTTTTTGCACAAGGATGGTGCCAAACTACTTGAGTCACAGCTTCCTTTCTGGCTTTTTAGCAATTAATTACAAATAAGTCTCTTGAATTTATGTGACCAGGTTGGTTTTAAACTGCAATCTTCAGCTCTCAGCCTCCTGAGTTGCTAGGATTACAGGTATGAGTCACTGGTGCTTGGCCCAGTTTTTTCTGTTGAGGTTTGCCTATTATCTTTACCTAGCTGAACCTGTCCAAAAACAGTTTGTGAATGAACACCAAAAGACTGTATTTAAAAATTCAAGATTTTCAACCATCTTTGTTTTCTTTTCTAGGGTATTCCAGACAGAGTGTCCTATGAAAACAGTGAGAAAGTCAGAAATTGCAGGTAAATATAATATTCCAGTTCTTGCTAATCTATTCTCAACCAGATAAATGATATGACATATTTATCTGTTTAATTATTATTTTTATTTTTTACCAGTCCTGGGGCTTGAACTCAGGGCCTTGATACTGTCCTGAGCTTCTTTTGCTCAAAGCTAGCAGTCTACCACTTGAGCCACACCGCCACTGGTATTGAGGAATTGAACCCAGGGCTTCATGCATGCTAGACAAGCCTTCTACCATTAAGCCATATTCCCAGCCCCTTAACGTTTGTTTGTTTGTTTTTGCTAGTCCTGGGGCTTGAACTCAGGGCCTGGACACTGCCTCTGAGCCTCTCTGTTACTCAAGGCGAGTGTACTACCCCTTGAGACACAGTGCCACTTCCGGCCTTTTCTGTTTATGTGGTACTGAGGAATCGAACCCAGGGCTTCATGCATGCTAGGCAAACACTCTACTACTAAGCCACATTCCCAGCCTCCTTACTGTTTATAAAGTATACCCTGAGCCAGGTGCCATGGCTCAAGCCTATTATCCTAGCTGCTTGGGAAACAGAGACTGGAGGAAAATAATGTTCAAGGCCAGCCCTATTAAATAAGTTCTTGAGACTCCATTTCAACTAATAGTTGGCTATGATGGTACCTACTGTCAGCTCATTGACATGGTCAACCACAAATAGCAGGATCACTGTCCAGGCTACTCTGAGCATACAGTAAGTTCCTATCTTGAAAATAACCAACAGGAAACATGCTAACAGAGTGGCTCAAGTAGTAGAGCACCTTCTTAGCAAGCAGAAACCCCTGAGTTCAATCTAATCATAGTTATTTGAGGGGCTGAGGCAGGAGGTCTCCTATTCAAGGCCAGCCTTGGCACCATAGTAAGAAACTATCACCTCCCTCCCCGCCCCCCCCCCCCAAAAAAAAAGAAAAGAAATTATACCTTGAGTCTTGAGTCACTTCCTTTTTTACCTTGTTATTAATAGTCCTTATGTAATTTTTCTAATATATTTCAGTTTGTCCTTTAACAACTTTCTTTATTTTTAGATACAGAAGCGGGAGAAAATGTTCCACTTATACAGTAAGTAAGGAACATAATTCAAATTATATTTGAAATGTTATTTATTTCACAAGGGTCTTTTTTTTTGGGGGGGGTCCGGTTGTGGGGCCTGAACTCTGGGCCTGAACTCTGGGCCTGGGCACTGTCCCTCAGCTCTTTAGCTCAAGACTAGCGCTCTACCACTTGAGCCACAGCGCCACTTCCGGCTTTTTTCTTTTTGCTTATGTGGTGCTGAGGAATCGAACCCAGGGCCTCTGGCATGCAAGGCAAGCGCTCTACCACTGAGCCACCTTCCCAGCCCCTGAAATGTTATTTATTTCAAGCTGAGGTCATAGCTTAAGTGGTACTTGCCTAGTATAGTTCCCAGTAATTCTCCCCCCTCAAAAAAAAAGGTTATTCCTGTTTAATTTTTCTTTTCTTTTTTCTTTTTTTTTGGTCAATCCTCGGGCTTGAAGTCCGGGCCTGGGCTCTGTCCCTGAGCTTTTTTACTCAAGGATAGCACTCCACCACTTGAGCCATAGCTCCATTTCTGGCTTTTTTATTAGTTAATTTGATGTAAGAGTCTCACTGGTTTTATTGCCCAGGCTGGCTTTGAACCATGATCCTCACATCTCAGCCTCTTGAGTAACTAGGATTACAGGCAGGAACCACTGGTGCCTGGCTTAAATTCTTAAAATCATGTATTAATATGAAGCAGTAAATAGCACATTTTTTTCATATAATCAGTTGCTTTTATAGTACTGATATAATTTGAATATTTTAGGTAAATGCTTGGGACAAGAAGTGTTTTAGATTTTTGTGGTTTTTCAGATTCTGAAATATTTGTATATACATAACTGGTTGAGCATCCCTAATCTAGAACATCCAAAATGCTCCAAAATGTAAGGCTTTCTGAGTACCACTCTAAAAGCTCCAGATTTCAAGTGGGATACTGACCACCTGTGTAGAAAAGTAATTAACTTTTAACAAGTGAGAAGATGTTTATCATTCTTAAGGTAAAGCCTTTTTTTAAAGGAGTCCATAATTTTACTAATCATTCTATAACATTCTTTTATCTTCCCTAGTCTAAATTTTTGTGATTCATGGTAATTGTTTGGAATATTGATTATGAAAATACCTTTTAATTTTTAGGAATACAAATTCAGATGACAAATATTGTGAGATTACTGGTGAGTACAACCAGAATACTTATAGATTTCTTGAAAAATATAATGAGTAGAAACCATGCAAAAATAAAGAGCTTGGTTTTAGCTCTGTGGAGGAGCACTTACCTGAAGAGTACAAGGCTCTAAATTCCGTCCTCAACTCTGGAAAAAATAAATAAAGAACTTTCTTTTTCTTTTTTTCATTTATGTATTTTTGTGTTGGTCATGGATCTTGAACTTTGGGCCTGGGCTTTGTCCTTGAGCTTCAGCTCAAGGTAAGCACTCTAACACTTGAGCCACAATGCCACTTCCGGCTTTTTTCTCTTTATGTGGTGCTGAGGAATCAAATTCAGGGCCTAATGCCTGTGAAGCAAGCACTCTTAACACTGAGCCACCTTCCCAGCCCCAAGAGCTTCTTTTCTTTCTTTTTTTTGGTCAGTCGTGGGCCTTGAACTCTGGGCCTGGGCGTTGTCCCTGTGCTCTTCAGCTCAAGGCCAGAGCTTTACCGCTTGAGCCACAGTGCCACTTCCAGTTTTCTAGTGGTTTATTGGAGATAAGAGTCTCATGGACTTTCCTGCCAGGGCTGGCTTTGAACCGTGATCCTCAGATCTCAGCCTTCTGAGTAGCTAGGATTACAGGTGTGAGCCACCGGCGCCCGGCTAAGAGCTTCTTTCTTTATACATGTTTTTTGTTTAAAATTTTATGGATATACTGTTTCTCTATAACATACTGTCCTTTTTGTTTTTTTTCTATCATATATTCTTAATTTTTCAGTTATTTATTCAACTTAGGAATTAAGAATCATTTTGAAAGCCAGGTGATAGTGGCTCACTCCTGTAATCCTAGCTACTCAGGAGGCTGAGATCTGAGGGACGTAGTTCGAAGATAGCCTTTGCAAAAAAAAAGTCTATGAGTCTCTCTCACTTTTTTTTTTTTTTTTTTGGTTGGTCATGGGGCCTGAACTCTGGGCATGGACACTGTCCCTCAGTTCTTCAGCTCAAGGCTAGTACTCTTACCACTTGAGCCACAGCCCCACTTCTGGCTTTTTCTGCTTATGTGGTGCTGAGGAAGCAAACCCAGGGCCTCATACACGCAAAGCAAGCACTCTACCACTGAGCCACCTTTCTAGCCCTTCTGTGAGACTCTTATCTCTAATAAACTACTCAGAAAAAGCAGGAAGTGGTGCTATGGATTAAGTAGTAGATCGATAGCCTTGAGCAAAAGAAGATTAGGGACAGTGCTTTGGCCCTTAGTTCAAGATCTAGGCAAAAAAAAAAAAAAAAGAACTATTTTGAACTTTTCCTTCATTCCCATACCCGTACACCCTTATTTTCTCTCTGTTGTAGTCTAAATATCTTGTAAATCTGTTACTTGATCTCTTATTACTTCTACTACTTTAAGCTTAAGTCCTCACTATTTTAACTTAGGGTTTTTTAAATGTATATATTATATTTATTTAATTTTTATCCTTCTAGTTCATTTAATGGACTGACTAACTTCCTTCCTTCCTTACTTTTTTTTTTTTTTGGTTGGTACTGGGGCTTGATCTCTGGGCCTGGGTACTATCCCTGAGCTCTTCAGCTCAAGGCTAGCCCTCTACCATTCTGAGCCACAGCACCACTTTGGTTTTCTGGTGGTTAATTGGAGATAAGAGTCTCACAGACTTTTTTGCCTGGGCTGGCTTTGAATGACAATCCTCGGATCTCAACCTCCTGAGGAGCTGGGATTATTGGTGTGAGCGACAAGTGCATGGCCATTTAATGTATTTTCTTACTACATTCTTTTTTCTCAGTAGGTATGAACACATTGCTTTGCGCTCCCATTCAGACTCAAATGCAACAAAGACAGGTATGATTTCATGCGAGTATCTTTATATTTTTATTTTTCTCCATAGTCAAAAAATACAGACAAGTTCATGATCGTAGCTTGATTTAGGGACATGGACCAAAATTAAATGGTGTAGAGTAGGGAAACTTCCTACCTAAGCATAAGGCACTGCCAATGTAAATATAGGGAGGTATGTTACATTAGAACTCACGAATGTTAATGACCATGAATGAGAATCATTTCAGAATTTCATTATAGATTTGTGAGCTAAGAATGTAGCTCTTGCCTAGCATGCATAAAGACCTGAATTAGATCTCAAGCACTGCCAAAAAAAAAAAAAAAGCTCCATAAAACAAAACAAAACCCTGGCTGGAAATGTGACTTAGTGGTAGAGTGCTTGTCTAGCATGCACAAAGGCTTGGGTTCGATTCCTCAGTACCACATAAACAGAAAAGGCTAGAAGTGGCACTGTGGCTCAGATGGTAGGGTGCTAGCCTGGAGCAAAAGAAGCTCAGGGACAGTCCCAGAGTTCAAGCCCCATGACTGGCAAAAGCAAAACAAAACAAAACCCAAACCCAACAACAACAAAAAAAACATACACAGCCCAGTATTGGTGGTTCACGCCTATAATCCTAGCTACTCAAGAGGCTGAGATCTGAAGATCATGGTTCAAAACCAGCCTGGGCAGGAAAGTCCATGAAACTCATATCCACTTAGCCATTGGAAAACCAGAAGTGGAGCTGTGGCTTAACGTGATAGAGTGCTAGCTCTGAGTGAAAAATCTCAGGGACAATGCCCAGACCCTGAATTCAAGCCCCATGACAGACAAAAAAAAAAACAACCCCCCCCCCCAAAAAGAAAAACATATACAAACATCTTATTTTGAATACCCAGGAATTAGACCATTTCTTTAAATAAAACTACTGTGGTACAGATAGCACAGAGTCTATAATTAATTAACCATCAAGCTGGGCGCTGGTGGCTCAGGCCTGTAATCCCAGCTACTCAGGAGGCTGAGATCTGAAGATCATGGTTCAAAGCCAGCCTGGGAAGGAAAGTCCGTGAAACTCATCTCCTGTAAACCACTAGAAAACTGGAAAGTGGCGCTGTGGCTCAAGTAGTAGAGTGCTAGCCTTGAGCTGAAGAGCTGAGGGACAGTGCCCAGGCCCAGAATTCAAGCCTCATGACCGACTAAATAAATAAATAAGCCATCAGGAACCAATGCCTTTCCAAGATGTTTATTTAGGATGAGAAGGACCTATCCAATATAGAATTTTCATTATGGTTACATTGTATATCAGATTTTTTTTTTTCCAGGTCTGGAGTAGTTAGGATTATAGATGTGATCCACCAATTCCTAGTGTTAAGATACTAAAAAGTAAATTATTTAGACTTTAGATTTTATTTTTTCTATGTTTTGATACTGGAGGTTGGGCTCAGGGCCTTGTACTTGCTAGGCAGATACTACCTGAGCCACTCTGCCAGGCTTTTTGCATTGATTATCTTTCTGTGCGTCTATGTTATCTTATTGTTTGATTATTTTTGAGATAGGATTTCACTTTATTCATGAAATGGTAATCCCTCTATACAACACTTAATAACAAACAATTTATATTAAAACCACAAAAAAATCATTTTTGTTAACTCAGTCAATTGGAAAATATGATTTTACAAAAAATTACATGGAAGATACTTGTACTTCATATTTTAACTTTTTGCTATTGATCAAAGGAAAAAAATGTTCTTGCCAGGTCCTGGTGGCTCATGCCTGTAATCCTAAGCTACTAAGAAGGTAGAGATATAAGGATCGCAGTTCAAAGCCAGCCCAGGCAGGAAAGTCCATGGGACTGGTATCTCCAATTCACCACCAGAACTGGAAGTAGAGCTGTGGCTCAAAGTGGTAGAGTATTAGCCTTGAACAAAGGGACAGTGCCAAGTCCCTGAGTTCAAGCCCTATGGCCAACATCAGCAACAAAAAAGAAAGACATATCTTGGTTTATTACCAATTAAAAATTTTTTGTTATGAGGGAAATGTGTAGAGAGTTTACAGTTATATAATACTATATAATATATATAAATATATTTTTTTAATTTATTTTTGATTGTCCTGAGGCTTGAACTCAGTACTGGACACTGTCCCTGAACCTCTTGGTGCTCAAGGCTAGTGCTCTACCACTTGAGCCACAGTGCCACTTCTGGCTTTTTCTGAGTAGTTTATTGGATATAAGAGTCTCACAGACTTCCCTGCCCAGGCTGGCTTAAAACCGTGATCCTCAGATTTTAGCCTCCTGAGTAGCTTGGATTATAGTCTTGAACCACCAGGGCCCAGTGTCAAATTTTTGATTAAAGAAACAATAGTTAGCTCTGAGATGTGGTAATAACTATTTTCTCTTCTTTGGAAAATTTTATTTTTTTTCCATACAAGAATTTACATTAGGGAAGTGGTGCTGTGGCTCATGTGGTAGAGCATTAGCCTTGAGCTGAAGAGCTGAGGGACAGCGCCCAGGCCCAGAGTTCAAGCCCCACGACCGACAAAAAAAAAAAAAAAAAAATTACATTCAGTGTGATCTCTTATGTTTCCTTTCATTATAGTTTTCAATTATAGAGCCCAACTATGACAACAAACATGGAAATGACCAGACAATCACCTTTTCCAATGAAAATCAGATGGATTTGACAGCAAGTCACACTGTGATGATAACCAAAGGCCTTTTAGATTGTACCAAAAGTCAAAATTCTACCAAGATAGATACTGCATCCTTCCTGGCTAACATAAAGTGTCACAATGAGAATTTGAGAATGAAAAAAGAATTAAAAATTCCCATGGATCAACACCCCACTCCCGAAAAAAAAATAAATTGCAATGATTTGATACAAAGATTGAAAACACGAAAATCCAGTGCTTATCTTACAGGCCCTGACAAAGAAAATTTTGAAATACCTATTTATTCCAAACAATCAAGTAGTGCCTCTTCTACATATCAAATGCAAGCATTTCTCAATGTAAATGAGAATAGTAGTAATATTACTAGAATCTTCAGAGAACAAGACGATGGGATGAATTTCACCCAATGCCTTACAACCGATATTCATATTCCCCCATCTGGTGAGGACAACTTAGTGGAATTCAAGGGTGACATTACAACTTATGACAATGACTGTATGGACTTGACAGCTAACCATACCCTGCAGGTTTTACCTTTAGCAAATAATTTATCCAAGACAGAAAATCAAACTTGTAAGATCTCCAAGGCTGTTGAAGCAGTTGGTGGAACTGAAGCTCCAGAAAAGACAACAGTCTCTAAGAGTAAACAAAATGCTGCTTTACAAGATCCTTTCTTAAACCCTGAACATAGAACACATTGTAGTTACATTATAGAATCAGAGACTCCCACAGTCACAGGGACTTCTAATCAAGATGCCAGAGCAACAGCTGGTAACTCAGAATCTGTGTGTTTTAGTCCAGCTGCTCACGGTTATAAGACCTTATTTTATTCTAGTTGTGATGATGCCATGGACCTGACCAAGTGTCTCTCAAGTATGAGAGAGGAGAAAAGTTTGCTGAAGCCCGATGGTAATTTTTCTAAAGGACATTCCAATCCTGATTCCAGCCCTGTTCTTACTGAGAAAACCTTTTATTCAGGAGAGGATAGTATGGACATTACCAAGAGTCACACAGTTGCAATAGATAACCAGCTTTTTAAGCAAGATCAGACAAATGTGCCAATTGTATCTGCACCACTATCTGAAGAAGCAATGATTCTCCAAAATCATGTGACTGTGGCAGAAGGTGGGGAAAGGAATGTAAATTGTCATTCACTTCCTCAAGTGTCCAGGGCAAGATTACAACAGAGCCTGACAAATTCTCTATCTCTTCACTCGACTGACAAAAAGACTCACCTCTTAGAAGATGAAGATATGGATTTGACTCAAAGTCACACAAGTAACTTAAGTCAGGCTCCTCTTGCACCTTACATTCTAGCATCAGAGAATATCACTAAATCTTATTCTTGTAGCAAAAGTCCTCCAGATAAATGGGGGAAAATGTTCAAAAATCATATCAAACCATCCCAACAACCAAAACTGATACCTGAAAATATTTTAACTGATACTCAGGGGAAAGAAAAACATCAGATTTTGAAGGTTTCACCTTATCTTGATAATGATTTTTTCATGTCAGCTAATAATGTAGCCTACTCTGATATAGGTCTTGATAAACAAGTAGCACTAAGAAATAATGGAAATACAGTTTCAAGGGAACCATCTTTATTTTCTACCAGAAAGTCATTCTTGTCATCTGATTGTCCATCAGGACAATCTGCCTTGAAAAATAATACTGATGTGAATAGTCATATAGCAAAGTCTGTACCAGGCCAGAGTTCTAAAGTACCTGAGTCACTGAGGAGAGATTTAGATGACCCCGCACAGGTCTCTTCTCATGACCAGGTGATTATTTGTTCAGAGGAGGAGCAAACTATGGATCTAACCAAGAGCCATGCTGTTGTCATTAAATTTGGTCCTTCTGAAGTACAAGACCTTAATAAGAATAATTTAGAACAGAGCACCATCCAAGTCAAAACAGTAAACAGACCAATAGCTGTAAAAGGAGAAAACTGTGGTAAAAGTCCTATGGAAAAAACTGGGAAATTTGTACCTAATAATGTCTTTGGTGTATTAGAGGACAAAAGTATACAGAAACCTGAATTTCTGATGGAAAAGCAAAATGCCAAAGTTTGTGGAAGGAAAAGTGTTAGTGGACTAAAAATGGATAAGACTGTTATATTTTCAGATGGTGATGAAAATGATATGGAGATCACCAAGAGTTGTACAGTAGATATAAACCATAGGTCTTTATTAGACAAAGGTGATGCCAATCGGATGCCTGTGGAAGGAACTTCTAAAACTATTTTGTATGCTTGTGAGCAGGGTGAAATGGAAATCACTACAAGTTACACTGTTGCCTTAGAATGTGAAAGGGTCTCATCAAATGAAAGAATTATTAGACCTGTGGAAAAGACTACAATGTTTGTAGATAATCACGATGAGCTAGAAATGACAAAGTCCCACACTGTTTTCATTAACTACCCTGCAGAGAAAACTTTACCTCCAGACAGACCTAAGTTTGAACTGCCCAAAAGGAAAAGTCTGAGAATTGCAGAAGTGACATCTCTTGCTGAAGAGAATGCTTTATGTTCAGAAAATGGTGACAGCAACCATCCAGCATCAAAAGGTAGGCAGGTAACTGTCCCAGAGGAGTGCTCTAGTTACCATCCTAGAGGGGAATGTGAGACATTAATAGCTGATGATAACATGCAAGTGCCTAAATTAACCAGTTGGAAACATGTGAAAGATGTACAAAAGCCTGGATTTCCAAATGAACTTCTGTCAGGCAAACCTCAGAGAAGAAAAAGCCTGAGGTTACAAAATGACAAGACCATTGCCTTTTCAGAGAACGATAAAAATGATATGGATATCACCCGCAGTTCTAGGGTAGAAATAAATGACAAAGGTACCTTGGAAGATAAAGAGGACTCTAACTGGATGCCTTTGACAGGAGCTTCTAAAACTGTTTTATATGCATGTGGGCAAGATGACATGGAGATAACTAGAAGTCACACCACTGCCTCTGAATGCCAAACTCTCCCACCAGAAGAAGTAACTGCTAAGCCAGTGGACAAAACAATAATGTTCATAGATAATCTCAATGATCTGAAAGTTACCAAGTCCCATGCTGTTTTCATTGACTGTCAAGCCACGGAGAAAACGCTTCCAGAATACCCTACATTTGGAATAGCAAGAGAAGGAAACAGTACTGAAGATAATAGCTGCATTCAAGAAATCACTAAAAAACAAGCACTGTCTGTAGGAAGTGAAATTGTTTTTCACCCTGCACAAAAGCATCAGATGACAACCCTTATTCCTCCTAATACATTGTGTAGGGATCAAAGTAAGGTGGAATTGATCAAGTTCCATAGAACTGATACAAATGAGGTGGTCATGGGGAAAGTTGCAGACCAGGCCTACATAGTGAAAGGAGCCCAAGCTGAAAGCTGCCGTATAGATAGTACAGACAGAAAAAATGTGGATTTTACAAGCAGTCATGGAGTTGTTATTTGTGGATCCAGTGATAATTGGAAACAAAGTCTGAAAAATTTGCATGGGAAAACGGAAGGAGTTTCAGATCTCCAAACTGTTCAATTGCCACCTACTCCAGAACAAGTACTTGAATTAGGAAATACAGGGTTCAATAATAAGAGTGTACTGCAAACTAAGGAAATAAATAACATTGTCTCCAATGATGCTAGTGATAATAAAGATGAAGAAAACAAGAACTCTCATAGTGGATCTGAAAGTATGTCTATACCATTAAATACAGCTGGTAAAGATAAAATGAGGAGATATTCTTTGGGAATCTTTTTGCCCAGATTGCCAAACAAGAGAAATGGTAGTGTCACGGGTATTGATGAGACTGAGCAGATTCCAGCAGATTCAACTGATTTAAACCACTTAGAAATTCTTCCAGTCTCTAACAAGGATTTGGGCACAGGATCTGTTGTACCTAAAATGAACTTAAGTCCATCTCAGTATATAAATGAGGAAAATCTCCCTGGTGAGATTAATTCCTCAGGCTCTATTAGCACAGAAACTGAAGAAAATATTTTGATTGAAACTGACCAAAAAGCAACTGACAACAAAATGGAGGAAACCTGTATTAGCCACAAAAGAACATGGGTACAAGAAGGAGATGCTGTTTCAACTGAGAAAAAAATCAGAAAACATGACTTTCAGCTTGGTGATACTATTCAGGGCCATGAGGTAAGCTACTACTTATTTACTTTTTTATTTTTTGTGGAGACTGGGGTTTGATTGGCTCATGCTCTACTGACTGAGCCATACTTCCAACCCCAAATTGCACTGTTTCGAGGAAGGAATGTTTTTCAGGGTTTATTTGTTTGTTTTTGCCAGTCCTGGGGCTTGAACCCTGGGCCTGGGCACTGTCCTTGAGCTTCTTTTGCTTAAGGCTAGCACTCTACTCCTTGGGAGCCACAGTGCTACTTCTGGCTTTTTCTGTGTATGTGGTGGTGAGGACTCAAACCCAGGCCTTCGTTCATGCGAGGCAAGCCCTCTAGCACTAAGCCACATTTCCAGCCTGTTTTTGTTTGATTTTTTTTTCTTGTGGCAATACTGGGGCTTGTACTCTTTTCTTTATGTTTGACCCTCTATCACTTGAACCATGGCTCCATTGCCAGCTTTTTATTGGTTAATTGGAGATGGGTCAGTTGTGGGGCTTGAATTCTAGGCCTGAGCATTGTCCCTTAGCTCTTCAGCTCAAGTCTAGCGCTCTACCACTTGAGCTACAGTGCCACTTCCCATTTTCTGGTAGTTTATTGGAGATAAGAGTTTCATGGACTTGCCTGCCTGGGCTGGCTTTGAACCATGATCTTCAGATCTCAGCCACCTGAGTAGCTAGGATTACAGTCATGAGCCACTGGTACCTAGCTTATGACATTTATTCACTGGCAAATTGGAGCATGGTTTTGCTTCTCCCCTGACCTGTGATACTGTTCATAGTGACAGCAATGTTCTTTCCTGTTGGCAGCTGAGACATTAGACCCAGAGAACTCTTGGGCTACATCCTGTCCTGGACCCTCTGCAATATCAACATAGATAAATTGTATGTTTGAAGTAGTGGGTTTTTTTTTTTTTTGAGTGTTAACATTAGCCATCACAAATACATAGTATCATAACTTGATTCTAACAATGTTTCTTTATCAATAATTTCACAGATTTTTGACCCCAATACTGAAGAGGATATAGATAAACATGTTAACAGTGTATTGGCAAAAAGCCCAAGCAGGACCCCATCTAGCTGCAGCAGCTCTCTGGATTCAGTCAAGGCTGATGGGACCTCTCTGGACTTCAGCAGTAAGATTTTTATGAAGTCTAAATAATAGCAGTTATCTGAATCTTTGACTAATAATAAATGCAGTTCAGTTTAGGAAATATCCAAGTGTTTTATCAGCCTAACCCATAGTCATTTTAATGAATTGAAAAGTATTTTACTATAGAAAAATAGAATGTTTTGCTTCAGAAACTTGTAATCAGTGGAAAAACACTGAATGATGTACTAAAACTGTAGTAAATTTACCTTGCTAAATGGGTGTCTTCCTGAAACATCATAAACAACACACAAATCTGAAAGATAAGTTAAATCAAGCGAACAATTGGGTTTTGACCTGATTTTCACATGAATTTGCTTTACTTTTAGCAAACCGCAATAGTCAAATGGAATCACAATTTCTCAGTGACACTATTTGTGAAGAGAACTTGAGGGAGGTACGTTAAAAGTATTCATCACTTTTAATACTTTTTCTTGGTTGTTATTTTTTGGTGGCAAAGTGTTAAGGAAAATGATGGGCTCCAGCTGGATGGCTCAAAAAGCAAGGTTAAAGAAGAGGGAACCACCTGGTCCCCATTTAATTTAAAAAGTATATATAAAGTATTTTATATGCAGAAGAATCATTTTCTTTATTAAGGATTCAGCATAGCAGTTTTTTTCCCCCCTGGTCCTGGAGCTTGAACTCTGTACCTGGGCACTGTCGGGAGCTCCTTTTTCTCAAGGCTCGCACTTTACCGCTTGAGCCCCAGCACCACTTCTGTTTTTTTCTGCGATTAATTGGAGATAAGAGTCTCTTGGACTTTCCTGCACAGGCTGGCTTTGGGCTGTGAGCCTCAGATCTCAACCTCCTGAGTAACTAGGATTACAGGTGTGAGCCACTGCCACCTGGCATAGCAATTTTTCTATGAAGTAGTATCTGTCTGTTTTCTGTGGCTATACCTGAATATCATAAACTGTGATTCATAAAGAATGGAGATTTATTTAGCTTATGGTTCTGGAGGCTAGGAAGAGCATAGCACTGGAGTAAGCTCAGTATCAATTGAGAGCTTTCTTGCTGGTGAGGACCTATGGCTTCACACGGCAAAACAGAGCAGCCTTGCTAACCTCCATCTCTTATGCAACCACTAATGCAGTCATGTGGACCCCAGCTTCATGACCTCTTCTAATCCTAGTTATCACCCAAAAGGCTCTTCCTCTAAATGACTTCCAAGATTAAGATTCAACGTGAGTCTTGGATGAAACAAATAGCCATACCATAGCAAGTAGAAATGAATATTAAAAGACATAGGTTTTAAGTTTTGTAAACTTTATTATTGAAAAACCTTAAAAACTAATCTTAGAGGTTGTCATGGTGTCACATAGAGTTCAGGGCCAGTCTGGGCTACATAAGGAGGGCCCTGTCTCAATTAAGATAACATTAATAATCTTGGATAAAATCTGCTCATGTGTGGTTTACTAATTCTTGAATAGTTGCATAAATATGCACAAGTTTTAGAAACATGAGGGTTATACTTAAAATGCACTTACCTTGAATGAATCAATAAATGCCTTTTGTTTTCTTTTTTTAGAAACTCAAAGATGGGAGCATTACAATAAGAGAGTTCTTCATACTTCTTCAGGTCCACATTGTGATACAGAAGCCCCGGCAGAGCAATCTCCCAGCCAAAGTAAAAGCAGCTTCTTGGCAAAATAGTTATCCTAGTTAAAATGTATTATACTTTGCTAAACTACATGAAAACAAGTATTTACTGAAAAGTAAAACAAGAGAAAAGCAAAAACAAAAGAATCAGCTAGGCACTGGTGGCTCATGCCTGTAATTCTAGGTATTTGTGAGGCTGAGATCTGAGGATTGCAGTTCCAAGCCAGTCCAGCAGCTGTGTGAGACTCCAATTAACCAAAAGCTGGAAGTAGAGATGGGGCTCAGGTGGTAAAGTGCTAGCCTTGAGCAAAATAGCTCACGGACAGCACCCAGGCCTAAGTTCAAGCCCCAGGTAATGCATTAAAAAAAAAAGGTAAAAGAAAAAAAGTTAAAGGAAGTCATTTTCCCTTTAGAACATTTTTCTTTCTTTTTTTTTGGTCAGTCATGGGCCTAAACTCTGGGCCTGGGCACTATCCCTCAGCTCTTCAGCTCAAGGCTAGCGCTCTACCACTTGAGCCACAGCACCACTTCTGGCTTTTTTTGCTTATCTGGTGCTGAGGAATTGAACCCAGGGCCTCATGCATGCAAGGCAAGCACTCTACCACTGAGCCACCTTCCCAGCCCCAACATTTTTCTATACTAGGTAAATTTATGCTTAGCATTACGAAAAAACAGATTTTTGAAATCAGGGATTTTTTTTTGTTTTTTTTTTTTCACTCCTAAGGCTTGAACTCAGGGCCTGGGCACTGTCCCTGAGCTTCTTTTGCTCAAGGCTAGTACTCTACCACTTGAGTTACAGTGCCTCTTCTGGTGCTGAGGAACCCAGGGCTTCATGCATGCTAGGCAAGCATTCTACCACTAAGCCACATTCCCAACTTGAAATTGAAGATTTTGGTAAGGCAAAATTTTAACATTTCTTGTTCCTTGCCATCTTTTTAATTTTTTTTTTCTGATTAAAAAAATAACATATGCTTTTCCTGCATTACAAAAATCCAAAAGTAAGTTGGGCCTTGGTGGCTCATGCCTGTAATCCTAGCTACTCAGGAGGCTGAGAGCTGAGAATCATGGTTCAAAACCAGACCAGGCAGGAAAGTCTGTGAGAATCTATTTTATTTTATATTTTGCCAGTCCTGGGGCTTGAACTCAGGGCCTAGGTGCTGTCCCTGAGCTTCTTTAGTTCAAGGCTAGTACTCTACCACTTAAGCCACAACACCACTTCCAACTTTTTCTCTTTATGTGGTACTGAGGAATCAAACCCAGGGCTTCATGCATACTAGGCAAGCATTCTACCACTAAGTCACATTTCCAGCCCTGTGAGACTAATTAACCACCAGAAAACTGGAAGTGGCTCAAAGTGGTAGAGCACTAGCTTTGAGCAAAAGAGCTAGGGACAGTGCTTAGGCCCCTAGTTCAAGCCCCACAAAGACAAAAAAAAAAGTGTAGCAGATGTATTCTATTGTTTTCTTCCTTTCTTTCCTTCTCTCCTCCTTTTCCCTTCCTCTTCCCCTTTCCCTCCCTTCTTTCCTTCTTTCCCATCTTCTTTCTTTGTGCCAGTCCTGGGGTGTGAACTCAGGGCCTCACACACTCACTTGAGTCACACCTCTAGTTATGTTTTTTTGCTGGTTAAGATAAGAAACTCAGGGCTGGGAAGGTGGCTCAGTGGTAGAGCGCTTGCCTTGCATGCATGAGGCCCTGAGTTCAATTCCTCAGCACCACATAAACAGAAAAAGCTGGAAGTGGTGCTGTGGCTCAAGTGGTAGAGCGCTAGCCTTGAGCTGAAGAGCTCAGGGACAGCGCCCAGGCCCAGAGTTCAGACCCCACGACCAACAACAACAGCAACAACAACAACAAAGAAACTCAGACTTTTCTGCCCAGGTTAGCTTTGAGCCAAAATCCATAGATCTCAGTCTCCTGATTGGGATTACAAGAATAAGCCACCAAAGCCAGCTTTAAGCCTTTTTCTACTTCAATGTAAGCAGGGAGCTTTAGGTTCCCTAAAATCTATAGAGGAATGGACTTTGAAGTCAGACATAAAGTTCTGACTTGTACTTAGCAGTGTGAATTTAATAATTTTTATTTGTGTAAGTTTTTTTTTTGGTGGGGGCAGTACTGGGAATTTAAGACTTCATACTTACTAGGCAAGCACTTTATCACTTGATCCAGACTCCTACTCCTTTGTTTTTAGGTTGCCTTTGGGATGTAGTCTTAGATTTTTCCCATAATGGCCTCAAACTTCAATCCCCTTTCCTTGAGATTACAGGCATATACTATCATTCTTGTCTTGTTTATTGAGCTAGACAACTTTCTTTTCTTTGTTGTGCTGGTCTTGAAGCTTGAACTCAAGGCCTGAGTGCTGTCCCTGAGCTTTTTGCTTGCTCTACTACTTGAGCCATAGCTCTTCGTGTTCTTCTTTCTTTCTTCTTTCTTTTCTTTTTCTTTCTTTCTTTCTTTCTTTCTTTCTTTCTTTCTTTCTTTCTTTCTTTCTTTCTTTCTTTCTTTCCTTCTTCCTTTCTTTCTTCCTTTCTTCCTTCCTTCCTTCCCTTCCTTCCTTTCCTTCCTTCCTTCCTTCCTTCCTTCCTTCCTGTTTGTCTTTCCTTTCCTTCCTTCCTTCCTTCCTTCCTTCCTTCCTTCCTTCCTTCCTTCCTTCCTTCCTTCCTTCCTTCCTTCCTTTCTCTCTCTCTCTCTCTCTCTCTCTCTCTCTCTCTCTCTCTTTCTTTCTTTCTTTCTTTCTTTCTTTCTTTCTTTCTTTCTTTCTTTCTTTCTTTCTTTCTTTCTTTCTTTCTTTCTTTCTTTCTTTCCGGTTGTGGAGCTTGAATTCAGGGTCTGGGCACTGTCCCTGAGCTCTTTTGCTCAAGGTTAGCATTGTGCCACTTTGAGCTATAACACCACTTCCAGGTTTCTGGTGGTTAATTGGATAACAGTCTCATGGACTCTACTGCCCTGGCTGGCTTTGTAACATGATCCTTAGATCTCTGCTTCCTTAGTAGTTAGGATTACAGGGGTGAGCCACCAATGCCAGGTTAAACTTTTTCTTTTTTGAATAGTTAATTGGAGGAGATCTCAGCCTCCAGAGTAGGTAGGAATACAGGCATGAACCACAAGTGCCTGGCCTTGAATTCATTCTTGTTCATGGGTTTTGTCCTCAAGACACCAGTTCTGAAAGACTTTTTTTTTTTTTCCTTTTGCAGTTTACTACAGACATATCACCTACTCCAGAAGACCTGATGTTAAGACAATATGTGTATGGACCCAAGATACAGATTTATAGAGAAGACTGTGAGGTTCTTCGCCAAAAGATTGAAGCGTAAGAAAGTTTTAATTTCTTTTCTGCATGCTTTTTCTGTTTTGATTTTTGGGAACTTTGATAAGCAGGATCACCTCTGTGGCAACTTTTTTTTTTTTGGGGGGGAGGGTGTCGGTCGTGGGGCCTGAACTCTGGGCCTGGGCGCTGTCCCTCAGCTCTTCAGCTCAAGGCTAGCGCTCTACCACTTGAGCCACAGCGCCACTTCCGGCTTTTTTCTTTTTGCTTATGTGGTGCTGAGGAATCGAACCCAGGGCCTCTGGCATGCAAGGCAAGCGCTCTACCACTGAGCCACCTTCCCAGCCCTGTGGTAACATTTTAATTAGAATAATTCAACATGGGGGGCTGGGAAGGTGGCTCAGTGGTAGAGTGCTTGCCTTGCATGCATGAGATCCTGGGTTCGATTCCTCAGCACCACATAAGAAAAAAAGCCGGAAGTGGCGCTGTGGCTCAAGTGGTAGAGCACTAGTCTTGAGCTGAAGAGCTGAGGGACAGCGCCCAGGCCCAGAGTTCAGGCCCCATGACCGGACCCAAAAAAAAAAAAAAAAAAAGAATAATTCAACATGGAAAATGGAAACATTTTAATTAGAATAGCTACATGGAAAAAAGATGATGGTATTAATTGGAAGAAAATATGAGAGGAAAAGAATTTTGCCTTTGTAGTCAGACATACTAAAGCTCAATCTTGGATACAACACTGTGTAGTCTTGTATAAGTCAGCCTTTATTTCCGCATCTGTAAAGAGTGATAATACTTTCTCAGCAGGTTGGAATGAATAGTAGGAAGAGTATATACAGTGTATTTTTGTAGGAAGTGGTGCTGTGGCTGAAGGTGGTAGAGCACTAGCCCTGAGCAAAAGAACTCAGGGACAGCACCCAGGCCCTGAGTTCAAGCCCCATACTGACCAAAAAAAAAAAAAAAAAGAAGAAGTTTTTGTAGCTCAATCTTGTAATTTTAGCTAATGAAAAGTAGAGATTGGGTAAGTGATCATAGTTGAAGGTTAGCCCAGGCACAACAAAAAGCTGAAGGATAGCTGTCATGTACTTCATCCTACACTATGGAGAAAGCACTAGCTATATTCAGTGGCATACACCTGTAATCCCAACAACATGAAACACAAAGAGTTAGATTGTAGTCCATGCCAGCCCAGCCTCTAAAGTGAGAGCCTGTCTAGAAAATAACCAATACAAAAACAGAAAAAAGAAGAATGATTCAAGTGGCAGAGCACCTGCTTAATAATCATGAGGCGCTGAGTTCAAACCCCAGTACCACCAAGAATGAAAAGTTTTCATAAGCTCAACATGGTGGTGCATTTATAATCTCAGTTATTCAGGAGGCAAAGACAAGAATGAGATTAAAGGATAACTCAGGGAAAAAGTGCATTAGACCTCCATCTCAATCAATAAGCAAGGTGTCTCATGCTTGTAATCCCAGCTACTAGAGAAACCGTAGGTAGGAGGATCATGTTCCAAAGCCAGCCCTGAACAAAAATGTGAGATTCTGATCTAGGAGGCATGATGGAAATGGCATAGTGCCTATCTAGTAAGCCCAAAGTCTTGAGTTCAAACCCTAGTACTGCAAATAATATAAAAAACAAAATATGTCTGTAGATCTGAACTGATTCATTCAAGCTGACTTCCAAACCATTTACTAACTTCTTTGCATTGTAGATTAAAGATTTCTGCATTGAACCAAGATAAACTATTGACTGATGTAAACAGGAACTTGTGGGAAAAAATGAGAAACTGCTCTGATGAAGAGGTACTTTACTTTCATTTTCTGAGTAAAAATCAATACAGACATTCTGATGAACATTTATTGTAGAATAAGTAACTATTATTTGATAATTATTTGAACTTCTTTGCCTTTTACTTAGATTTAAATGAAAATATTTTAAGTGATTAATATTTTATATATGTTCTAGTAGATTGAGTTTTTTTTTGTTTTTACTAACAACGTTAGTTTTACTAACAGTGTTTTTTTGGGATTTTTTTTTGCCAGCCCTGGGGCTTGAACTCTGGGCCTGGGCACTGTCCCTAAGCTTCTTTTGCTCAAGGCTAGCCCTCTACCACTTGAGCCACAGCACCACTTCTAGCTTTTTCTGTGTATGTGATACTGAGGAATCAAACCCAGGGCTTCATGCATGCTAGGCAAGCCTTCTACCATTAAGCCACATTCCCAGCCCCAGCATATCATTTTCTAATGTACAATCTGAACAAGTGATTTAAAGGCAGCAACCAAACTGAAATATTTGTTTCTGTTCCTAACCAGTAAATGGAATTAAATCGATAAGTGACAGAGGTCAGACCTTAGGAATCACAATCAAGAACAGAGAAAGCACAGTGGGGCAGTTGAACTTGCCTTCTCAAGCCACTCAGTTGCTGGACTAGTTTGTTTTACTGCAGTGAATATACTCTCTACTCTCTTACAGCTGAAGGCCTTTGGAATTTACCTTAACAAAATAAAGTCTCGTTCAACCAAGATGACAAAAGTCTTCACTCACCAAGGAAAGGTGGCTCTGTACAACAAGCTGGTGCAGTCGGCTCAGGTAACTCGATCCAATTACAGAAGGAGCTGTTAAAATTATTTTTTAAATTATTTTTTAGTGGTTGCAAACTGAAGAATGTTCCTTAACACACAGAGAATGAGACTTGGGCAAAAACAATTGTTTATAAGATGCAAATTTTAGTTAGTCAGACTGACAACTTGTGGCATCTGAAGTATGTTGGAATATTAATACCTCATTGCAAATATTGTGATACCTTATACACATTGAAATAAAGTATATTGGATTCTGGTTCTCCTGTTATGACAGGTTATACTTTTATCTTCCTCATACCCATCCATACCCAGTGCTGAATGTGTATAATATGTTTAGAGTAGTGTTTCCAAAATGATACCTTTCAAAAAGTTTGCAGAGGGTGCATGTAGCTTAGTATGGAGTACTTTGCCTAGTATTCTTGAGGCCTAGGCTCAATCCTCTCCCCACCAAAAATAACTAGAAAAAAAATACATTCTATACACATACATACATTTAATTTATTATTTTTTATTTTTTTGCCAGTCCTGAGGCTTGAACTCAGGGCCTAGGCATTGTCTCTGAGCTTCTTTTGCTCAAGGCTAGCACTCTTATCACTCCAGCCACAGCACTATATCCAGCCTTTTCTGTTTATGTGGTACTGAGTAATTGAACCCAGGGCTTCATGCATGCTAGGCAAGCATTCTACCACAAAGCCACATTTCCATACATTTAATTGATTAATTAATTTATATTTATTTATTTTGTTGGTTGTAGGGCCTGAACTCTGGGCCTGGGTGCTGTCCCTCAGCTCTTCAGCTCAAGGCTACTGCCCTACCTCTTGAGCCACAGCACCACTTCCAGTTTTTTTCTGCTTATGTGGTGCTAAGGAGTTGAACCCAGGGCCTCATGCATGTGAGGCAAGCACTCTACCACTGAGCCACCTTCCCAGCCCCCATATATTTAATTTAAAGAAGTTTAAAAATAAAAATATTCTAATGCTTTCCATATCTGACATTGACAACATTTTAGAGAATTTGTGTTGCAAGTTATAAATGTTAATGTCCTATAAATCATGAAACAGAAATACTATAGTGTATAGTAAATGAAAATACAAAATGAGCTCATATTTACCTGCTTTTTCTTTTAATTCCTTTTTTTTCTTTTCTTTTTTCTTTGCACTCTGGGCCTAGGTGCTGTCCCTAAGCGCCTTTTGCTCAAGGCTAGCACTCTACCACTTGAGCCACAGAGCCACTTTTGTCTTTTTCTATCATTAATTGGAGATAAGAGTCTCTTGGGCTTTCTGGCCAGGCTGGCTTTGAACTGTGATCCTCATATCTCAACCTCCTGAATAGCTAGATTACTGGTGTGACCCAGCATTGTCTGGCTGCTTTTTCATTTTTTTTCTATTCTTTAGCTCCAGATTTAAATCTTTGATCTTATTTAAAATTTGTCTGTCTGTGATCATGACTTAGCAGTTACATCAGCAATTTAGACCATTTGTAATGTCTTATTTGAAGGTTTGACCTTACAATATATAATGTTTTGTGTCTAGAATGAGAGAGAAAAGCTTCAGATAAGGATAAATGAGATGGACAACATATTGAAGAAGATCAGTAACTGTCTCGCTGAAGTGGAAATAGGTAAAGTATTTTTTTTTTTTTTTGGGTCCAGTCGTGAGGCCTGAACTCTGGGCCTGGGCGCTGTCCCTCAGCTCTTCAGCTCAAGGCTAGTGCTCTACCACTTGAGCCACAGCACCACTTCCGGCTTTTTGCTTACGTGGTGCTGAGGAATCGAACCCAGGGCCTCTGGCATGCAAGGCATGTGCTCTACCACTGAGCCACCTTCCCAGCCCCTAGGTAAAGTATTTTAATACTTTTGTAGGGGATAGGTATGTAGTTCAGTGGTAGAGCACCTATAAAAAGTAAATAAGTGATTTTCTAAAATAATATTTAATTTTATCTGTGGGCTGGGAGCATGGCTTCACTGGAAGGACAACTATCTATCAAGCATGAGGTTCTGAGTTCAAACCACACACACAAACATTATTTAATTTTATCTCAATGTCTCCCTGCAGGGCTTGGAATGTGGCTTAGTGGCAGAGTGCTTGCCTCCCATGCTTGAAGCCCTGGGTTTAATTCCTCAGTACCACATAAATGGAAAAGGCTAGAAGTGACTGTGGCTCAAGTGGTAGAGTGCTAGCTTTGAGCAAAAGAAGCTCAGGGACAGCGCTCAAGCCCTGAGTTCAGGCCCCAGAACTGGCAAAAGAAAAAAAAAAAAAAAATATATATATATATATATCTCCCTGCCGAAGAGATTGTTGACCTTACTATGCTATATTCATAGCTTGACACCTTAAATTAGAGCAGCTTAAAACCTTAAATTAGAGCAGCTTGAGACCTTAAATTAGAGCAAATTAAAATTCTTTTACTATGATTATCAGTAATACAATAGAGATGCCAAAGATAATGAATCTCTTTGGAAAGCTAGTCATAACAACCTAGATCATAATCTTGTGCTTTTCAATAAATGACTTGTTTTCTCTCCATTTGAAAATTGTCTTACCTTTCAGTTTGGTCACTCATAATCACAACTTGTTTTGCTTTTCTGAAACTGCCTTCTCAAAGATCACAGATGTGATTCTTCCCAGCCCCAAGCCAGCTGGACCTATTTGAGTACTTGATCCTACTGATTATCTTTTTCTTCCTGAAACTTACCTCCCTTATATTTGCACGTGCTCACTTTGTTTATCCGTTCTCACTGTTCCTTTTAGCTCCTCTTTGGCCTCTAACAACTGGTGAGGCATTTAGATCCTATCATCTGTTACTTTTGTTGTTGTTTTGATGGTACTGGGAATGGAAGTAAGAAACTCCCACTTGCTAGACTGGTATTCTACCACTTGAGCCATGCCTCCAACTCATTTGCATCATTTATTTCTGGGTGGGATCTTGCTTTATGTCCTTGGCAGCTGGGCCACAGTCCTCCTATTTATGCTTCCTGGAATCATTGGCATAGCAGCCATTGTGCTTCCTCCATAGCTGGAATAATAAGTGCACACCACCATGCCCAGCCATCAGTTGAGATAGTCTCTCAAGCTTCCTTTTGCATGGGCTGGCCTCAAACCATGATCCCCTAATCTCTACCTCCCAAATAGCTAGGATTACAGGCCTCTTATTTTCTTTCTCTCTGGTGAATATGTGCAAAGTAGTAGGAATTGAAGTTTGAGTCTTGAATTCAAGTGCTAGACCACTTGAACCCCCCATCCTTTTGCTTTTGGTTTGTTTTCTCAGATAGAATAAGGTGTTCACTTTGCCAAGCTGCCTAGCACAGTGACCCTTCTGTTTCTATGTCCCGGGTAGCTAGGATTACAGTGGTGCTTCACTACACATGGCCTCATCTGTTCTTTTCTACATTTTTTTTTACTGCAAAAATGCTTTCATCTGTATTAATAATTATTTTTACATGGCTGATTCTCAAATTCAGCTCAATCACCTACTGCATGCCAGATATTTTGCTTAGGCATGAGAGGATAAATAGCTTAAACAGCTTATAATCATTTTGGTGGAACATATTTTCAACTTCTTTCTCTTGAGTTGTAGACTGACATTTCTAGCTACTAGTTTCTTCAAAACTATCTATAAACACCTTAAACTATGTTTAACTAAAACACAATTGATTATCTTGTCTCATCTCTAAAATGAAACCCCAAAATTTGCTTCTGTATGTTTCTTATCTGTATTGTAACATTCCAATACATATGTACATACATTCATATTAACATTGCAATTCTCCTAAAAGACTTAAACTGGGCATGGTAGCCCATACCTTTAATCCTATCACTCTGGGAAGTGGAGGAAAGTGGATCTCAAAAGTTTCAGGTCAGCCTGGGCTACCTATTGAGATATTTCAACAACAATAAAAATATCATGATGGGCTGGGAAGGTGGCTCAGTGGTAGAGCGCTTGCCTTGCATGCCTGAGGCCCTGGGTTCTATTCCTCAGCACCACATAAGCAAAAAGAAAAAAGCCAGAAGTGGCGCTATAGCTCAAGTGGTAAAGCACTAGCCTTGTCTTCAGAACAAATAAACGAACAAACAAAACCCAAATAAAAGAACGTTTATTTTCTTTTATGTTTGCATGACTGTTTCTTCAGCATCTTTGCTCTTTTTGTTTTGAAATACGCTATTTCAAATCTAACTAGCCTATCTCCATTCTTACTTTCTCCTTAAGAATTCTATCTCCTAATATAACCTGGACATTGCTACCAGATGAATAATTATGAAAGTTTTTATTATGTTACTCCCCTTAAAAACCACTGCAAGTTAATTACAAAATAGATTCTAAACACTGAAGTTGGATGGTTAATACTCTCTCCACTCATATTCAAATCCTTTTTTTTTTTAAAACCAATATTAGAGTTTCAACTCAGGGCCTTTGGCTCTTGCTGAGATTTTTTTTTTTATGCTGCAAACATTTTAATGATTATTGTTGAGCATACATTTTGGAAATTACTTCAAACTGCAATGAGTTTAAGTAAATGTGTATAATATACAAAGAAAATACAACCTAACATAAAATTGGCTTTTTGATCAGGCTGGCTTTCTTACCACTTAAGCCATACCTCCTCTTTCTGCTTGTTATTTGGAGATAAGAATCTTGAGGATTTGTCTGCCTAGGGAGCTTCTAAACTTTGGTTCTCAGATCTCAGCCTCCTGAGTAGCTAAGATTATAGCTGTCAGCCACTGATGCCTAGCTTTCAAATCTTTTGTTACATTATTTCTTCTACACTCTTTTTTTCTTGGGGGGGGGGTCCGTTATGAGGCTTGAATTCTGAGCCTGAGCACTGTCCCTCAGCTCTTCAGCTCAAGGCTAGCCCTTTACCACGTGAGCCACAGTGCTACTTGAGGTTTTCTGGTGGTTAATTGAAGATAAGAATTTCATGGCTTTTCCTGCCCTGGCTGGCTTTGAACTGCGATTCTCAGATCTCAGCCTCCTGAATAGCTAGGATTACATGCCTGAGCCACCGGTGCCCAGCAATTTCCTCTACACTCTTACACATCTTAAATTCTGAAAGTTTGCCATTCTATGTAATTCTTTCACCTTGTGCTTTTGTTATGGCAATGGGAACAGGACCCCAAAATCCCTAAGAGTATGCACAGAAAAAATGTCTAGAACACGTGTGCTGCATTGAATTGACAGTGCAGACTCGAAGTCCATAGTCTTAGATTCCCACCTACTTCACCTTGTCTTCACAGTAGAAAGAGAAGCTATCAAGTGGCACTTCCAAACTTCCTACTGCCAAAGAAACAGACTTTTATATAGCAATATTCATTCTTTCATTCTTCTTTTCTTTTCCTTAGACCCAACCTTTCCATCTAAAATGTAGTTTCTGTCTCTTCAGGAATCTTCTGTCACATATATCTATAGGAAAAGCCACTTTTGAGTTAAAATCTGACCTTCAATAAACTTGGTTTGAATTGAGGAGAGGAAAATTTATAAGGATGACTCCCACATTTCAAAAACAAAATTTTAAGTTGTATTTGCTTACTCCTTTTCTTTTGTGTGCCTGTTCTGAGTTTTGAACTCAGGACCTTGTCCCTGAGCTTTTTTTTTTTTTTTATTTTTAATTTTTTTTGTCAGTCACGGGTCTTGAACTCTGGGCCTGAGTGCTGTTCCTCACTTCTTCGGCTCAAAGTGAGCCCTCTACCCCTTGAGCTACAGCGCCACTTCCAGTTTTCTGGTGGTTTATTGGAGATAAGAGTTTCAGGGGTGGGGAGGGGGGGGAATGTGGCTCAGTGGTAGAGTGCTTGCCTTGCATGCATGAGGCCCTGGGTTTGATTCCTCAGCACCACATAAACAAAAAGAAAAAAAGCCAGAAGTGTCACTGTGGCTCAAGAGGTAGAGCACTAGCCTTGAGCTGAAGAGCTGAGGGACAGCGCCCAGGCCAAGAGTTCAGGCCCCACGACCGGACCCCCCCCCCCCAAAAAAAAAAAAATTGTTTCACGGACTTTCCTGTCCGGGCTGGCTTTGAACCCGCGATCCTCAGATCTCAGCCTCCTGAGTAGCTAGGGTGACAGGCGTGAGCCACCAGTGCCCGCCTTCCCTGAGCTTTTTGATCAAGGCTTGAACCATACGACTTGAACTACAGCTCCACTTCCCCGTTTCTGGTGGCTGATTGGAGATGAGAGTCTCAACAAACTTTTGTAATTGGGTTGGCATTTAACCATGATCCTCAGATGTCAGCTTTCTGAGTAAATAGGACTACAGGCATGAGCCATCAGTTTCTGGTGAACTTGCTTTTTTTGTGTCTCTTAATCTGTTTCTACTTGGCTCATAGGGGCTGCCTAACAACTATTTCACATCAGCAAATTATATGTGGTTAAATAGTTTTTTCAGTCCATGGGCTTGAACTCAGGACCTCCGCATACTGTCCCTGAGCTTTTCTGCTCAAATCTAGTGCTCTACCCCTTTGAACCGCAGAGCTCCACTTCTGGTTTTCTGGTGGTTAATTGGAGATAAGAGTTCATGGACCTGCCTGAGCCAGTTTTGAACTGCAATCCTCTTATCTCAGCCTCCTGAGTAGATGGGATTACAGGTGTGAGCCACCAGTGCCTGGCAAGTTTCTATCTTACGGTGACCTCTAAACCATTACTAGTGGCAAACTGCACAAGGTGGTACACAAATGTAATCCCAGCTACTTGGGAGGTTGAAGCAGGAAGATGACCTCTAACACTTCTTTTTCCAAATTATAATTTTAGTTTAGTGCTTTATTGAAAAGAAGATAGTGGATGTTTGTGAAATGGTTCTAATATTTTACTTTGAGACCATCTATTTTTTCCATTTCTGATATTAAGTAAGTAAATATTACTTAATTATTTTAATGCATGTTGTCTACTTTAGAAACTAAGGATTTGGAAAATGAAGAGAAAGATAATCCTGTGGACGAATGGAATTCTCAAATGAAAGCTGCAGAGAATGGTAACTTGAGTCAGAGATAAATGGTGGGGGAAACCTGGTTAGCATTTGTTGATTATTTTTAGATGAGATTAAGTCAGAATTTTCAATAAAACACGATATATGTAGCATTCTAAGAATGTCCACTCTATGCATTATTTTCTTTCCATAGAACTCAAACAGCTGAAATCAGAAGAGGAAGAACTTGAAAGGTCAGTCTGTCCTAAGTTTGTGTTAGAAAATATAATGCTGTTGGGAAATGGCTCAAGTAACAGAGTTAACAGAGCACCTGAATACAAGCAGAGAGAGAGTGAGTGAGTGTGTGTCTGTGTATAATGCTGAGCCTTAACAAGGTTAGTGACTTTCTTGCCTCTAGAAAGATTTGGGGATGAGTCTCCACTAAGAGTGACTCAGGCTTCTGCTACACTTTGGATTGTCCCTAGAGGACATTTCAGTCAACATTCTTTTTGAAATGCTTACTGTTTACAGGGTATTAATACAAGGCAGTATTTCTCATACTTAAATATTATCAGGATCTTTTTAAAGAACAAGGATGAAGGTATGGCTCAAGTGGTAAAGCACCTGCCTAGCAAGCCTAAAGCCCTGAGTTCAAACTCTAGCACTGCCCAAGAAAAGAAAAAAAAGTTAAATTATTTTATATTGTAATTCAATAAGTATGAGATGATGCATATATTTCTTAGCCTTCTGAATCATATTCAACTGGAAGACTAAAAGAAATTATAAATTATGCAAAACCAGTAAAATCCTAGTTGACAATATAACAGGTGATAATATCCAGCTGAAATTAAGTTGCTAGCAAAATGGTTAGGCATAAAGCACAAGTTCTGTTTAAATGCAGAAGGAACTTAGGACATGTCTCACCTTTGAGCTGGCATCCTTGTGACCGTCATTATGCTTGTATTTTTATTAGAAAAAATGGAAAAAGTAATTTTTGTTAATATGATTTTATTATTATTTTTTGTCAGTTGTGGGGCTTGAACTCACAACCTGGGCACTGTCTCTGAGTTCTTTTGTTCAAGTCTAGTGTTCTACCATTTTGAGCCACAGTTCCACTTCCAGTTTTCTGGTGGTTAATTAGAGATAAGAGTTGCATGGACTTTTTTCTGACTGGGCTGGTTTTGAACCATGATCCTCAGATTTCAGCCTCCTGAGTAGCTAGGATTACAAGCATGAGCCACCAATGCCCAGCTCAATATAATTATTTTAAAAACCATGGAACCCCCAAAAGATATCTTCATAGACCCTAATTTGGGAGACAGTGATTTATACTTTTCTGAAGTAGACACACTTTTACATTAAAGCTTCTAAAATTCCCACATTATTATTTTACTCTGGGAATCTAACATGTACCTTCTTATAATAAACCATTTTCTCTAACAGATACCTAATCTTTCTATAAATACCTGATTTTATTTGCAGAAAGGTATTAGAAGTAGAGGTACAGAAAAAGCAGACCCTTGCCCAAATAGACTTTATGCAAAAGCAAATAAATAGAACTGAAGAACTACTGGATCAGTTGAGGTAAGAAAAAGCAAGTCATTAGTTTGTGTTTTATATTGTCCCTTAATGGTTGTGTGAGTCTACTGTAGAAGTTGATGTGTTTCTAATGTATTATTATAGCTTTCCTGGAGGTACTGTGGGGTTTGGTTTTATTTTGAGACAGTCACTGAATTGCCTACATTGACCTTGAGTTTCTGGGCTCAAGCAGTCCTCCCCACTCAGCCTCCCAAGAAGATGGACAAGTATGTACCCTCACACCCAGCGCTTGCAATGGCTTTTTTTTTGGTCGGTCATGGGACTTGAACTCTGGCCCTGGGCACTGTCCCTCAGTTCTTCAGCTCAAGGCTAGGACTCTACCACTTGAGCTACAGTACCACTTCCAGTTTTCTGGTGGTTTATTAGAGATAAGAGTCTAATGGTCTTTCCTGCCCGGGCTGGCTTTGAACTGCAGTCCTCAAATCTCAGCCTCCTGAGTAGCTAGGATTACAGGTGTGAGCCACCAGTGCAGGGCTGCAATGGCTTTTTTTTTTTCTTCCCTTTTTTCTTTGTTGGTTATGGGGCCTGAATTCTGGGCCTGAGCACTGTCCCTCAGTTCTTCAGCTCAAGGCTAGTGCTTTACCACTTGAGCCACAGCGCCACTTTGGGTTTTCAGAGTAGTTATTGGAGAGTCCCATGGACGTTCCTGGCCGGGCTGGCTTTGAACTGCGATCCTCAGATCTCAGCCTCCTGAGTAGCTAGGATTGCAGGCAAGAGCCACCAATGCCTAGCTGCAATGGCTTTTCTTTTAATATTAGCATTCGTAAGTGGTAGAGCGGGTTCTGTTGTAACATCTCCACATGTGCATATACAATATCCACCACACCCTTTCTATACTCCACTCTATCCTATTAAGCTTTTCTCACATTTTCAACAAGTAGCTTGCATCCTTAGATTTCAGCCTCCTAAGTAGCTGCAATTACAGGTGTGATCCACTGGCACCCAGTTTTGTTATTTTAAAATAATTTTTTATTGTGATTAAGTGATTGTAAATTTCACAGTATTGTGAGATAGTGATACTTAGTTAAAGTACAAACATATTCTAACCTCATGAGGCAAATTGTCATTATTGTGGTCTATAAAGTTTGTGAATTCTACGAGCTTTGACAATACAACTATTTCTTCCACATCAGATGATATATACATTAGATGATATATACGTTTCTTTCCTTTTGCTCAGTGTAAGCTGTTCCCGCTTTCCCTCTCATTCCCTCCCTCCCACCGCTGCCCTTGAGGGGATTAGTTTGTTTTCACCAATGTCCAGTGCAGCTGATGGGTCCTCTGTTGTGTGTTTCCCTCTGATTCTGTGTCTTCCTCCTAGCTTCCCTTAGATAGGTGCATACACACACACACACACACACACACACACACACCCATATATGTGACACACACACACACACACACACACACACACACACACACACGGTCAACAACATGGGGTCATTTAATAATGATATAACAGGATGGGTGGAGGTCTTTTGTTTCTCTAGTCCTGTTTGTTGCATCTCATTGCATTTTGGATTTAACATTCATGTATCATTTGTCTCTTTGTTCTTGTCTTACCTCGCTCAAAATGATTTTTTTTCTAGTTCCATCTATTTCCCTGTGAATGTCATTATTTTGTCCTTTCTAATGGCTGCACAATATTCCATTGTATATGGGTACCACAGTTTATGGATCCATTCATCTGTAGTGAGGCATCTGGTTGTTTCCATATCTTGGCTATTGTGAACAGTGCTGCAATGAACATGGAGGTGCATGTGTCCTTGTATCCTGGTTCCTGTTGCTCAGGGTAGATGCCTAGGAGTGGCACCTAGTTTTTGTTTGTTTGTTTTTGTTTTTTTGCCAGCCCTAGGGCTGGAACTCAGGGCCTGGGCACTGTCCCTGAGCTTCATTTGCTCAAGGCTAGTACTCTACCACTTGAGCCATAGCACCACTCCAGCTTTTTCTGTTTTTGTGTTCTGAGGAATTGAACCCAGGGCTTCGTGCATGCTAGGCAAACACTCTAACACTAGGCCATGTTCCCAGCCCCGTGGCACCTAGTTTTGTACTGGCTTTTTGTTGTTGTTGTTGTTGGTCGTGGGGCTTGAAATCTGGGCTTGGGCACTGTCCCTGTGCTCTTCAGCTCAAGGCGAGCACTCTACCACTTGAGCCATAGTGCCACTTCTGGTTTTCTAGTGGTTTATTGGAAATAAGAGTTTCACGGACTTTCCTGCCGAGGCTGGCTTGAACTGTGATCCTCAGAACTCAGCCTCCTGAGTAACTAGGATTCATGCATGAGCCATCGGTGCCTGGCTTTGTACTAGCTTTTAATCTAGCCTAGAGTACAGTGCAGCCTTAGAGTCATTGCTATAGAATGTTTATATTCTAATAATTTATTAAATTCCTTATTTAAAAAAAAAGCCGGTGCAGCTACTGCTAGTGGCTCAATCTTGTAATCTTAGCTACTCAAGGAAGTTGAAATCCATATGATCACAGTTGAAAGCCAGACTAGGCAGAAGTCTCTAACCAGCAAAAAGGTAGACTGAAAGCACAGCTCAAGAGATATAGCACTAGCTGAGTAATATGTAAACCTGAGTACAACCCTGGTACCATCAATAACAACAGAGTCAGTGGCTTCTTTGGGAAAACACCAAATGGCGCATGCAACGAAAGGTAGGGGGTGAGAGGCGAAGGGATTAGGGCAGGCTTGGGAGGTCCTGCAGCTTCTGAGGAGGCTTCAGTAGCCACTTCCAGAGTCCAGGTTTTGGCTGCTAGGCTTGTGGAGGCAAGGTTGAAAACAAGGAATGGATCTCTGCCACCAAACTGGGCTATGTGGTTAAGGACATGAAGATGAAGTGTTTGGAGATCTGTCTTTTCTCCGTGCCCCATCAAGGAGTCTTTAAAGGATGAGGTGTTGAAGATTATGTTCGTGCAGAAGCAGACCGAACTGAGCTTACCAGCGCACTAGGTGCAAGGCATCTGTTGCCATTATGGTCATGTCGGTCTGGTTGTCAAGTGCTCTGTGGAGGTTGCCACTTGCCGTCTTAGCCAAGCTCTCTGTTGTTCCTGTGCGGGGAGGCTATCGGAACAAGATTGGCAAGCCCCACAGTGTCCTGTGCAAGGTGTCAAGCTGCTGTGGTTCTCTGTTGGTGCACCTCATCCCCGCCCCCGAGTGAGTCACTGAGATCATTTCAGCTCCTGTCCCCCAAGAAGCTGTGGATGATGGCTGGTGTTAATGACTACTACACCTCAGCCAGGGGCAACTTCTCCAAGGCCACCTTTAATGCCATCTCCAGGACCTACAGTTACCTGACCCCTGAGCTCTGGAAAGAGACTGTGTTCACCAAATCTCCACAACAGGAATTCACTGACATTTTTTGAAAAACCACACCAGAGTCTCCGTGCAGAGGACCTAGGCTCCAGCTGTGGCTACAACATAGAATTTTATACAAGAATAAGAAAGTAAATCAAGCATGTTTAAAAAAAAATGTCAGTGTACTGAAAACTAAGGTGAAAATACACAGGTGGGAGAACTCTGGAAAGGTGTTAAGATACAGAGCACTTTTATGCCTGATGTGGTGGTGCAGGCCTGTTATTCCTTCAGTCAGGATGCTCAGGTGGGAGGATTATGAACTTGAGGTCAGCATAAGTTCTTACAGCAACAGCCTGTCTAAAAACAACAAAATTAACAGTTTTTGTTGCATGTACTTTTAATTCTGACATATCACTCGTTTATTTTGTTTTTTTGTTTTTGTTTTTGTTGGTTATGGGGCTTGAACTCTGAGCCTGGGTATTGTCCCTTAGCTCTAACGCTACCACTTGAGCCACAGCACCACTTCCGTCTTTTTCTGCTTAAGTGGTGCTGAGGAATCAAACCCAGAGCCTCATGCATGCAAGTCAAGCACTGTACCATGCAGCCACCTTCCCAGCTCAAGTTTGAATTTCTTCCTTTTTTTTTTTTTTTTTTTGGTCGGTTGTGGGCTTGAACTCTGTCTGGGTTTGGGCGCTGTCCCTCAGCTCTTCAGTTCAAGGCGAGTGCTCTACCACTTGAGCGATAGCACCATTTCTGGTGGTTTATTGGAGATAAAAGTCTCAAAGACTTTCTTTTCCGGGCTGGCTTTGAACCATGATCCTCAGATCTCAGCCTCCTGAGTAGCTAGGATTACAGGCATGAGCTACTGATGTCAGTGAGTTCTTTTTTTTTTTTTTGATTGGTTGTGAGGCTTGAACTCAGGGCCTGGGCACTGTCCCTGAGCTTTTTTGCTCTAGTCTAGCGTTCTACATAGAGCCACTTCTTTTTTTATGGTGGTTTATTGGTGATAAGACTCACATGGACTTTTCTGCCCAGGCTGGCTTCAAACTGTGATTCCAAACCTCAGCCTTCTGAATAGCTAGGATTACAGACATGAGCTATCAGTACCTGGCCTAGTTTTTATTTCTTTTAAAAGATTTAAAAAGATTGTATATTCACAATATTTGAATTGAAATTCCATCTCCTAAGTCAGTGGGTAAAAGCCAGTAACTGCTATTGGTATTGTTTGAGTGCTGTTAGAAATTTCCCCTTTCCTCTCTCTGAGCTGAACAGTAGAGCTCATCTAAGCATGTATAAAACACTTGGCTTGATCCCCAGCACTGGGAGGGAAAAATTGCTTTTTTTCTTCTTCTCTCTAGTTTATCTGAGTGGAATATTATTGAGTGGAATGACACTCAAGCTGTATTCACCTTTGTTTATGACACCATACAACTCACCATCACCTTTGGAGAACCTGTAGGTAAGTAGCAAAAGTAAAACGTCTGCAGGAAAAAAATTTTTAACTCCCTAAAAATACAGATCTTTATTTGACTACAGTACTAACAAATGAATGAAAGCATAATAAAAATACTGTTGAAAAACTTAGAAGCATTAGCATTTTAGCGGTAATAGATTGTATGGAGTGGGGTTTTGCCAGGTTTTGGCCTTATGCATGCTCAGTGCATGCTCTACCACCTAGTATTACCCTAGCAGAAAAGAATTTTTTTTAGATGAAGAATAAAACACCTGATTATGGTGGCAGCCGCCTGTAGTCCCAGCACACAGGAGGCTTAGGTTGAAGAATAAATAGTTTGAGGCACATCTGGTGTACATGTCAAATTCAGGGTTGGCCGGGTTCATAGCAAGACCTTGTCCATTGTAACCTCTAACCCAGGGGTTGCACTAATTCTCTGGTTGGGCTTTCAGATCTCCTTTTCCTTCCCAATTCGGTCTTCATTCTACAGCTAAGCAATTGTTAAATCACATATGTACTTCTCTTAGGCTATGTTAAGAAATACCTTATACAGCCTATGAAATCTGGTATAAATTGAATTTTTCTTTTTTCTGCCTCATCTCTCTCTCTCTTTTTTTCCTTCCAGTCCTGGGGCTTGAACTCAGGGCCTGGCATTGTCCCTAAGCTTTCTTTGCTCAAGGCTACCACTACCACTTGAGCCATGGCGCCACTTCTAGCTTTTTCTGTTTATGCAATACAAAGGAATGGAACCCAGGGCTTCATGCATGCTAGGCAAACACTCTACCACTAAGCCATGTTCCCAGCCCTCCTGCCTCATCTTATGCCACCTTTCTCTGCATTCTTTGCACATCGACTACAATGGATTTCTTTCATTTCTTTAAAATGGCCATGGTCTTTCATGTCCAGTCATTCTGTCTTACTACAAGGTACTAGGATGCAAAAGCTGGGTCTCTTGGTCTTGATTGGTTTTCTTGAATATGTGGCTGATGCTCTGCAACTTGAGCCACTTCTCACTTTTTGCTGTTTGATTGGAGATGAGCGTTTCTGGGATTTGTTTTCTCTAGGCTAGCTTCAAACTGAGATGATCAGATTCCTAAATTGCTAGGATTCAGGCACTTGGCTTTCTTTCCTTTTCCTTTTTTCTGCTCTATTCACACACACTCTTTCTTTCTCTTTTCTCTCTCTCGTTCTGTGGCAGCACTAGCATCTGAGCTTAGTGCCTTGTGTTTGCTAGACAGGCACTCTGTCACTTGGGCTGTACCCTCAGTCCTTTTTGCTTTTGTTATTTTTCAAATAGGGTTCTCACTTTTTGTCCAGCCTTTGATCCTCCTATATCACTTCCCAAATAGCTGGGATGACAGGTGTGTACCACCATGCCCAACTTTTTGTTGGTTAACATGAAGTGAGTCATGACCCTTTCTTTTGCCTAGGCTGTCCTTGAACCGCAGTCCTCCCATTCTCAGCCTTCCATGAAGCTAAGATTAGTCATGACCCACATGTCTGGCAAGACTTTTTTTTTGTTGGTCGTGAGGCTTGAACCCACTTGGGTGCTGTCCTTGCGCTCTTCAGCTCAAGGTGAGCCCTCTACCGCTTGAGCCACAGCGCCACTTCCTATTTTCTAGTGGTTTATTGGAGATAAGAGTCTCACAGGCTTTCCTACCCAGGCTGGCTTTTGAACCTCAATCCTCAGATCTCTGCCTCCTGAGTAGCTGGGATTAGAGGCATGAGCCACAGGTGCTGGACTCATGACTTTTTTTTTTTTTTCTTTTTCATTCTTCTTGAAATACTGTCTTCCTGTGTAGCCTAGCCTGGCCTTGAACTCTCATCCCCGTCTTTACCTCTGAGTACTGGGAGTACAGATGCCTTCTACCGTATCTTCCGTATCTTCCTCAAGAGGAAGCCACTTTTTTTTTTTTTTTTAGCAAAAGTAATGGGAAAGAAATACACTTTTTTTTTTTTTTTGGGTCCAGTCGTGGGGCCTGAACTCAGGGCCTGGGTGCTGTCCCTCAGCTCTTCAGCTCAAGGCTAGCGCTCTACCACTTGAGCCACAGCGCCACTTCCGGCTTTTTTCTTTTTGCTTATGTGGTGCTGAGGAATCGAACCCAGGGCCTCAGGCATGCAAGTCAAGCGCTCTACCACTGAGCCACCTTCCCAGCCCAAGAAATACTCTTTATATATATATATATATATATATATATATATATATATTTTATTGTAAAGATACTATACAGAGGGTTACAGTTACATGAGTAAGGTGATGAGCACACTTCCTATTGAGCATTGTTACCCCGTCCATTGTTTTCCCCCTACCATCCTTTCCCTCCCTACCTTCCCTGAGGTTCATTTTTTTTTTTTTTTGATTGTGATTAAGTGATTACATAATTTCCCGAATTTCACAGTATTGTGGAATAATGATGCTCATTTAAAGTCACAAGTTCATTCTAACTTTCCTGGAGCAAATTGTCTATCACAGTCTATAACATATATCGGTGTACACATATACACCATACATGTGATCAGCAGCATGGGGATATTTAGTAGTGGTTCGACCAGATGAGTGGGAGTTCTTTGTTTCTTAAGTCCTGTTAGTTTTGTCGTATCACCTAACATTTTGGATTTAGCATCCACTTATCAGGGAGACCATGTACCGTTTGTCTCTTTGCTCTTTGCCTACCTCTCTCAACATGATTCCTTCTAGCTCCATCCATTTCCCTGCAAATGCCATTATTTTGTCATTTCTAATGGCTGCATAATATTCCATTGAGAAATACACTTTTAATAGACTGAAAATCAGCATCACTTAGGCGAGAATAGTTCCATCAAGACTACATATTGTTGTAAGGTGAATCATCCCAGAAGCCACATTTTAAAATATACAATATTGGAGTCTTTACTATTACAGTTAACAGACTGCAGGCCGCCAGTTGTTACAAAGTCCCACAGCATACAAATACATATAACACAGCTAGGAAACATGCTAAAGAGGAAAGAAATAGCAAAAACAATACCAACAAGCCAGTTCAGCTCCAATGGATGATTACAGATGAGCCAGGAGACAGAACACAGCACTCAATCACAGAGACACACGTGGCATGGCGTCTCCTGTTTCAAATCCTCGCGGCACATTCCACATGCCCTCCTGTTACCTTGTCACTGCTCTCTACAGTTTTCCTTAATGTCATTTACCATGACATATCGTCCTGTGGATTTATTCTTGTGATTATCTGCATGTCTTCCTAGATTGTAAGACTTCTTGAGAAGGTGGTTTGATCATGGCTGTTTTCTCATTGTAGTATTTGCAGAACTTAACACAGAAAATGCTTAAAGCATTTAACAAAGAGGAAAAAAGTCTGAATTTGGAGGACAGGAGATAACACTAGGATCTGAAGTGAGCATTTTATTTATGTTTTAATTTTTGTGCAAATTCTAAGGCTTAAACTGAAGGACTGGGCTGGCTTTGCACTGTGATCCTCAGTTTTCAGTCTCCTAAGTAGCTAGGATTATGGGAATAAACAACTGGCACCCAACTTCCTTATATAATTCCTGGAAAGGATTACTTTTAAATAGAAGTTAGGCTAAAAAAGAAAGGGACCTTAACAAATATAGCTGTGTTTAAATTCCTTTAATGTCTTTCAAAGGCCTACCAAACAAATGTAGCTGAACAATCTTGGGAGCTATCACTGTAAACAGAGAATAATGTGGGTCAAGGATAAACCTTCAACTGCTTAGGAAAAACCTCACTTACCTGAAAGAGAAGTCTAAAAGACAGAGAAATAGTAACCAAAAGTAACTGTTCTTGTCTGATTCTTCTTAGCTGGTATTCCTTTCCTGGACCAGGCCAACAGGAAGATTGTTGAGGTCGATTTTCAGTCTCTGTTAGATGGTAAGCTCAAACCTTTAAGCTTCTAAATATTTGTTAGTAATTATTTATGAGTATACATTACTTTGGAGGAATTCTTTTCACATACTGAATTTTTTTTATCTCTGTAATTCCTTATTAAAAATACTGGTGTACACATAAAGACTGAAAACAGAATAAAGATAATAACACATATTGGGATCTTGATGTTAGAACTTAACATACTGGTGCTTTTTAGGGAAGTTGTTGACATCCACATCACAGAACCAAGTCAAAAGCAAAATACAAGGGTACCCTCAAAAGTATTTACAATGAAGTAAATACATTAACAGAATATAAATAAGTACAGGGCCAGGGTGCTGTTCCAGGTACAAAAATTGAAATGACCAATGTCACATGATTTCAAAGGTTGTCCTTTCTGTGCTTCTGTCATAGCAAGCTACAGGAGGTTTGTATTAATTTGACTGTTTTCAGATATTAAAATCTTCCTATGGATGAAAGACTTTCAGACAACCTCTTAAATGGAATTACACTATGGAAAAGAGGATTCCCCAAAAAACACCTAAGCAGAATTGAGAATTCTTTTGAAAACCATTCCCAATAAAAACTAAATGAAAAATAAATATAAAACAAAGCTAAAAAATATGCATTACCTGACACCAAGTGTTTTCTGGCTGACAATATTTATGCAATGAAAACATATCAGCCAAGTCCTGAGGTTACAGGGGCCAAAGCAAACTAGAGTTTGTGGTGCAGACGTTCTCGGGTTTGCAGAGGGAAGTGTGCTGGTCTATGCAAAGTGAGAGATTCAAGCCCTGTTTTACCCCTGCCCATCCTTAGCTTTCACAAAACATTGGTCCACAAATTAAAATTTTCAAAAAGTTCCCAGACCCCAAAACTAAAATAGATGATACACTTTCATTTTCAAAGAAAACAATATTGGAAAAAATCTCCAGCCCGCTTATAAATTAAGCATTTCATATTTCTTCTAGAATACAAGTAGTTCTTTTTTTGTACAAAAGAGTTACAATATGATTTGTCAAAAAATATATAAAAAGATAGCTGCTCTTTCTCAAATACATGAGCTAATGATAAAAGACTTTTGCATGTTAATGTCTCCAAGTTCTTGCTCCTTTTACATAAAAAAGAACATTATGGTGGCAAATGTTAATTACCTTTTGAATATGGAACATTATGTTCTTTTAAAATCCATCCAAACCAAATGCAATAATTGATTTTCTTGTTAACTCAACAACTGATGCTACCAAATGTGGATGCAACACCCTTGTTAAACGTGGGAAGAATGTCTCTAGTCTTCAGAGCTTTTAGGTGAAGAGAGGTGCTTTTTCTTGATGTAATTCTCAAGGCAGACAAAAATCATTTTAAAGCTTATAAAAAGTGGACAGAGAAATACTAAACTTGTCTGAAATATCAAATATGTATAATTGTTAAAATCGAAGACAGTAACATCAGTTGCAAGTGCTTGGGAGCCTGTCCTGACCTTCTGAGTCTCCACACTTTCTTCATAGTTGCATGGTGAGCACCCACTGCCAGTAAAACATTCAGTGCTCACATACTAAATTAAATATAAACAAATAATGGTAAAATGTGATTTAGGCATAAAACTGCCTCAGCACCCAGGCCATGAGTTTACGCCCCAGGACCAACAAAACAAATGTACTAGGATTACAGGCAGGAGCCACCAAGCCTGGCTTCCTGGGTAGATTTTTAAAGAAAGTACTTTTAAAAATTATTACCAGGGCTGGGAAGGTTGCACAGTGGTAGAGCGCTTGCCTTGCATTCCTGAAGCCCTGGGTTTGATTCCTCAGCACCACGTAAGCAGAAAAAGCCAGAAGTGGTGCTGTGGCTCAAGTGGTAGAGTGCTAGCCTTGAGCTGAAGAGCTGAGGGACAGCGCCCAGGCCCAGAGTTCAGGTATGACGGACAAAATCAATTAATTAATTAATTAATTACCCGATCCCAAGCAGTGAATAATAATGTGTTTTCGTGTTTGAAAATTACTATTATGACTGCTTGGTCTGTATCAGGCATGTGTACTGTTTGTATCAATCCTATGAGGTAGGTCTTATTTTCTACTTTAAGAGTTACATAAATAGAGGATCAAAAAATTAAGTGTTTTGCTTTGAATCAATTTTGGCATAATGAAAACCAGGATTTTGAACTCAGATTTATGTTACTTTTAAACCCTCCCTTTTAACCAAATGCAGTTCTGCATGTTTAGGCTTCAGATTTTCTAGGAGCACCTTATATTTACAATATTCTTCTTACTTTTGAAAACAAAACTCAAGGAGAACTTAAGTACTTTGAGGCATTTCTTGCTTATGTGGCATAGTATTCTTACCTTATATAAGACATATAAATACTAATAACCTGGTTTTGATTTTTTTTTTCTCCAGAGGATAAAGCTCCCCCTTCCTCCCTTTTAGTTCATAAGCTCATTTTTCAGTATATTGAGGAACAAGAATCCTGGAAGAAGAAATGCATAACCCAGCATCAAATACCCCAGGTAAAATCTGATAGGCATATTTAAAGGAAATTGGATGGTATGTTTCCCTATAAGCAAAACTGAAATTCTACACATAAAATAATGTCCTGAAATATTACTTGTTTAAACTTTTTTTTTTTTTTGGTCCAGTCGTGGGGCCTGAACTCTGGGCCTGGGCGCTCTCCCTCAGCTCTTCAGCTCAAGGCTAGCGCTCTACCATTGCGCCACTTCCGACTGTTTTCTTTTTGCTTATGTGGTGCTGAGGAGTCGAATCCAGGGCCTCAGGCATGCAAGACAAGCGCTGTACCACTGAGCCACCTTCCCAGCCCCCTGTTTAAACTTTTGATGTTATAACTGGGCTATTAAACATTGAAATGCTTTCATAATTTTTTCATTGTTTTGGTCTATTCTTAGATGCTTCATGAACTCTCACTGGTTGTGAACCATTGCCGACTCCTTGGGGAGGAGATTGAATTTTTAAAGAGATGGGGACCAAATTACAACCTAATGTACATAGATGTGAAGCATTCTGAGTAAGTATATTAGTTTCCTGGGAAGCTTAAGCAAAAGAAATTTGTTGTCTCACAGTTCTGGAGGCAAGAAATCTGAGGTCAGGGTGTGAGTGAGGTTGGTTTCTTTCTTTTTTTTTTTTTGGCCAATCCTGGGGCTTAAACTCAGGATGTGGGCACTGTCTCTGAGCCTCTCTGTGCTCAAGGCTCGCACTCTACCACTTGAGCCACAGCACCACTTCCAGCCTTTTCTGTTTATGTGGTACTGAGGAATCAAACCCAGGGCTTCATGCATGCTAGGCATGCTACCACTATGCCACATTCCCAGCCCAAGTGAGGTTGGTTTCTAAGGAGTGCAACCAGAATCCCCTCTCTCCTGGTAGTATACTGGCAAGACTCAGTATTCCTTGTCTTGTAAATGCACATGATGTCTTTCATGTTCCTATAGTATTCTTTCATAAGTTATGTCTGTTTCTGCTTTATAACTCCAGTCAGAATGAAGCCCTACCCTACTCTAACAGAACCTCATTTTTCTATCTTTTATGGGAGGGCAGTACTGGGACTGCCTTGTGCTTGATCCTCATCTTAATTAAATTTTCAGTGATCTATTTTCCACATAGAAGTCACTTCTGAGATACTAGGGGTTAGCACCTCATATAATTTGGAGGGGATATATTTCAACTCATAATAATATGCAATTATTGAAGAACTTTGACAACAATAAAAACTCAACCATTAGAGTATCTTTCCATTTATGTCCCATTTGATAAGAAATAGAGGTAAGTTTACAATGCCTCTGCATAACCAAAGTGTGCTCCTGTTTACATCTGCTTTTATATTGCAGATTGAAGCTTTTGTTCTCCAGCTCTGTAGCATTTGCAAAGTTTGAGTTAACTTTGTCAGTCTCAGCATATTATCCTTTGGTTCCATTACCTTTCACCGTTCAAAATCACCTTGGAAACATTGGGTGAGTAACTTACCTAGGGTAAGACTCCAACTACTTACTCTCTTTTGTTATTTCCATTGAAAGATTACTCAGTGATCAGCAAGTGGAGAGTAAGATTTAAAGTGCCACTTTTTTAGGGCTTCATTTGCAGAATTTGATCTGTTGCAGGGTCAGGGGAACTTTTTTTCTGCCTAGGGCCATTTGGGTATTTATAACCACACACAGATCATGCCAAAGTATCAATATAGGCATACAGACTGCATCATGTACCAAATGATCTCTCAGGCTTTGGGTGTGTGGTTTCTCACCCCTGAAAATTCAGTCACTGTCTCCAGTGGATACTGGCAGACGTTGATCTGATTTTTCCGCTTGCTTCACTTTTTGAATCTTCCTAAAACAAAGGAAAAAAGTCCTCCATAAGCTCGGCTCAGAACATGTGTAAACAATTTTGTATGTTTTTAAAAGCAGAATATGGGGACTGGGAAGGTGGCTCAGTGGTAGAGCACTTGCCTTGCATGCCTGAGGCCCTAGGTTCGATTCCTCAGCACCACATAAGCAAAAAGAAAAAAGCCAGAAGTGGTGCTGTGGCTCATGTGGTAGAGCGCTAGCCTTGAGCTGAAGAGCTGAGGGACAGCGCCCAGGCCCAGAGTTCAGGCCCCACGACCGGACCCAAAAATAAAAAAAGCAGAATATGCACTTTGAAAGTTGTACATTCACAATACTTAGATCTATAAACATCTCATTCCTACTTTTCTATCCTCAGTATTATGACATTTTAGATACATTGCTGACAGACTGGGAGATGTTTGAAAGGTACCAGTTTTAAATCCATCAATAAGCACTAAAAGAATCTTATAGCTAAAAAGAACAACTGGGTCAAGGTGGCTCTCAATTACGTACAGATTGCATTGAGGCCCATTTCAACTAGACTGCTTATTTCTAGAAATGCCATTTGTGCTTCCTAGGAAACTGAGTGATGGTGTCCAAGAACATGTTTAAAACTGAATGGGAGACTAACATAAGGCTCCAGAAAATTAAATAACTTTTTATTCTTTCCAGACATGATGAAATTGCTACTATTATGTCTAAAGTGCCATTAGAAGACAACTATCTGAAGAATATAGTCAAGCAGATTTACCAAGATCTACTTCAGGACTGTCATTTCTCCTGCTAGACCCACAGGCCACTGCTGGAAAAAAATGTCCTTAGCCAGATATGGTAGCACATGTCTGTAATCCCAGCACTCAAGAGACAGGAAGAACATGAATTTGAGGTCCGCCTATGCTACACAGTGAGTCTGAGGCCAGCCTGAGTTACATAGTGAGACCCTGTCTCTAAACCCAAGCAAACAAAACAAAAAACCATAATGATATTATGTCACGAGCTGCGTTACTGGTTTATATTTGTCTTTATGTCATAGAAGACTAGTAAAATTCCTCCTGATGATGTTATAGTTAATCTGCATGGTTTTTATATCTGTAGTTAGTAAAGATAAAAAGCCTCAAATAGCTTGCTATCAACTTGCTTATTTTTCTACCTAAGATTACATAGTGTGACACATAGAGAAAATTTCCATTAACTAAAGTGGTGTTCTCTTTTTCAGAGGTATTACTATTGACAAAGAGATGAGCCCTTTCCACAAACTTAGAGATAGGAGGTTTAGGGAGCCTGGCTTCTGCCTAGCAGATATTTTGGAGTTGAAACATCTGGCATTTACCTCCAGTGGTAGCACACAGGCAATCAGTAGCCTGAACAGGGAGGACCACTTGAGCCCATGAGTTCAAGACCAGGATGGACAACATAGTTTGTGCAACACAAATGAGAATATGTCTATCTGTAAACTACTAATCATTTTTCTACATTTGAGAAATGCTAAGAGAAAGCAATAATACTCTGCTACTGGAATGGTGCCTTTCCTTGAGGGCTTTGCTGTTTGATCTGTAGTGTGTATTAATGTTTTCTTAATCAGTTCAGTTTTCCAGGGAAAGCTGATTTGGGCCCATTACATACATGTAAATATGTTCAGGTTTTTGTGTCTGTGATATATAATAAGGAGATAATAGCCTTCTAGAAGCATGAGCAGTTTGCATTTTTCTAAAGGATGCTTGCTTCATAGCGAGATTCTCAACCTTTTATTAAATAATGACATCCCAAACAGCTTCACACTCAAAACAGTGGTTTCTGACAGTGAAGAAAAGCTGACTCTACTGATTGATTGGTTCCTGAAGCCACATCTTTTCTCACACTAAACCAAGTAGATCTGTGAGCAGTATTACTTCTGAGGCAGACAAATATAAAAGAACTTTTGCCCAACTTTAGTCAAATCTTAATCATGATAATCATGATAATCTTTTATATTCTAAATTAAATAGATTTACATTCTAGGCTAATTTGTCTTAAATTTTTGCTTTTTACTTTAGGATCAGGTTAAAGTTATATTAGTCCCATGAATGTTGTCTTCCCTCCTTACTAGTTTTACTTCTCAGCTATGTAGCGAAAGATCAAATCAGCTTTTAGTTTCATAAGTCAACACAAAACTCCCTAACATAAAAATCACGACTAAGATGATGTTCCTTAAAACTTAAACTCCATAAACACTTTTTAAAAGTTGTATGGTCTGTTTTCCATGAAACTTAAGTTAGCTTTCTTACTGGATTTATTTTTACATCTAAAAATTAGGTTTTGTTTTATTATTTATACTGCTCAAAGAGTGATTTGGTTTATGATGTGATCATCTCTGTTCTCTTGGGTTCAGACTATGTAATTGTAATGTTTATATAGGTATTTGTGTTTTCCTTTGTTCAAAGTGTTTGACATTTTCGTAAATTTTTGTATGTTTTTCATGGATTGGAAAGGAGATTGTTTTTTGCATTAGTAAAGTTTATTACTTGAAATCTTTTATAAGTAATGTTTCTTTATTAAGAGTATTTTAGATCCGGGCACTGGTGGCTCACACCTGTAATCCTAGCTACTAAAGAGGCTGTGATCTGAGAATAGAGGTTGTAAGTGGGCTGGAACAAGAAAGTGTGAGACTCTTACTCCAGCTAACCACCAGAAAACTGTAAGTGGAGCTGTGACTCAAAGAGGTAGAAAACTAGCCTTCAGCAAAAAAGTTCAGGGATAGTGCTCAGGTTCTGAGTTCAAACCCCACAACCAACAAAAAAAAGTATTTTAGGAGTTAGAGGCGTAATTATAGTTGTAGAGTGCCAGCCAATGAATGAAAAGAAGCATCAGATACTGAGTTTGAGTCCCATCTTGGAAAGAAAGAAAAGGAAGGAAGGAAGGAAGGAAGGAGGGAAGGGAGGGAAGAGAAAAGAGAAAAATATTTAAATTATAGGCACTGGTTGCTCACACCTGTAATCCTAGCTACTCAGGAGGCTGAAATGTGAGGATTGCAGCTAAAAGCCAACCCAAGCAGAAAGGTCCATGAGACTCATACCTCCAATTAACCAGAAAAGTTGAACTGGAGGCCTGGTGCAAGAGGTAGAACTCTAGCCATGAGAGAGCAAGAGTGCAAGAGTTCAAATCCATACCTCCAAAAAATGAAAAATAAAAGATCGTGTAGATCTTTGAATTTTTACCATAGAAACTTCCTTCTAAAGCTGGGTAATGGCTCATGCTTGTAATCACAGCTACTGAAGAGGTTTTGAAGGAGGATTTGAGGCAAGACCCCCATCTCTAGCTGGGCATGATGGAGTACACTCTGGTACTGCCTAGCAATAGCAAGGGTCTGGATCCTATTCCTAGCATGGGTGGAAATTAACAAACATCTAGCCGTAGGGATCAGGGACCGATAATCTGGAGGCTTTTTCTCTCTTTTTTTGTCAGCGTTATTGAAATACAACATATATGTTGTAGAATTCACCGTTGAAAATACTCAATTGAATGGTTTTCTAGTATATTCACAGATGTGCAGAACTATTTCCACAATTAATTTTAGATTTTCATGACCTCAAAAAAACATTTTTCAATAAATGATGCTGGGAAAACTGTGTCCCCGTGCAAGTAGGTTGTGGAGGTATAGCTTAATAGTAAGCGCTTGCCTAGAATGAATGAGGTCCTGGGGTCAGCTCCTAGCACTGGAAAACAAAACGAAAGCAAAAGAATGAAGTTGGGGGGCTGGGGACGTGGCTTAGTGGGAGAGTGCTTGCCTAGCATGCATGAAGCCCTGGGTTCGATTCCTCAGTACCACCTAAACAGAACGAAGCCGGAAGTGGCGCTGTGGCTCAAGTGGTAGAGGCTCAGGGGCAGCGCCCCGGCCCTGAGTTCAAGCTCCAGGACTGGCAAAGAGAAATGAAGTCGGACCGTTCCCTTCCGCTCTGCAAGGGCACTCCAGCGCAGGAGTCCACCACGTCTGCATGGTACGGACGAGGAGATAAGCAGCAAAACCCACACTGGGGCCTCTCCCCGGCCCGCCCCGGGGCCCGCGGCCCGCGCCCGGCGTTCAGGTACACCGCAATCTAATTTACTTAGCAAACCTCCGGCCTCCTCCGCCGGGTCCGCAGATCCGCACGGAACGAGCGCCTCTGGCGTGCTCGTCCCTGCCTGCGGCGCGGAGCGCAGCCAGCGACCCAACAGTCCACGAGCGGCCCCGGCGGCGGGGCGGGGCCTGGCGGCGGCGGGGCGGGGCCTGGCGGGCGGGGGCGGGGCCTGGCGGGCGGGGGCGGGGCCTGGCGGGGGCGGGGCGGGGCCTGGCGGGCGGGGGCGGGGCCTGGCGGGCGGGGGCGGGCGCTTGCAGCGGTCCTTTCTGGGAAATGTAGTCCCGGGGCCAACCGTAGTCCCTCCTGGGACTGGTAGTCCCCGGCCTGTTTTTCCTGAGGAGAAGGCAGCCCAGTGGGAGAGGAGGAACGTCCCTCGCGGTCCCAGGTAGGCTCCAATTCCTCGGGCTCACCGTCGGGCCGGAGAGCGAGGCGGAAGTGGCGAGAAGGCGTGTCCGGGCAGGGCGTGGTGACGTCACGCGGGCGCAGGCGCGAAGCGGCCGTGGAGCTTGGCGGGATTTCCGAAAGTCGCGCGCCGAGGCGGGAAGCCGGCGCCGGAGCCGAGCTGGGGTTGCGGACGGCGTCGTTAGGAGCGGGGCGCGCGGGGCCGGCGGAGCGGGCTCAAGCCGGGGACCGGAGTCGCCTGCGGTCGGGGCGCGCGGAGCCCGGCGCGCTGCAGGCCCAGGTGAGTGGCGCGGGCCGCGTCCGCGCTCGCCGCCCGTCCCCGCGTCGGCCCGGGCCGCGCCGAGGCCCTCAGGCAGGGTCCCCCCTGCTGCAGCCGAGAACCCCGCAGGCGGCGGAGCAGCGAGGGGCCCGCCCACACCCAACCGCCCCCCGGAGTTCGTTGTGGGCGCCCGGAAGGCGACCCCACCCTGCCGACCTCGGCCGGCGGGGAAGCGGAGACGCGGGCGGGCCCCGTGCGCGCCGTGAGGCCGCGGCCCCGCCCCGCCCCGCCGGCGCCCCAGGCCGCGGCGCCCGCCACGGGCCAAGCTAGTGTTGCTCGGTGCCGATTATCGAGAGGAGACAGCTCTGAAGGGGGTCAGTCGTGCGGCCCAAGCCTGTCACCCCAGTTGGCGGAGGCGGGGGGATTGGGAGGAGCAGGCTGGCCGGGCCCACAGCCTTACTCTCAATAAATGTGTGGAGTGTGACGTGCATCATTGCAGGTGTAAGGGCTCCGAAAATTACCTTAAAAAGACGTGTGTCTGTGTGCTCTCCACGCAGGAAAGAAATGCAATGTTGTCAGCACCCCAGGAGCCCCCGTTGGCTAATCTTTTCTCCTTTCCCAATGGTAAAGTCACTATCGAATTCTAACAGCAGCAACCAACTTTGCCTCTTGTTGGTTTTTGTTTGTTTTCCTAATGCTTGTCTTTTGACGGTGTCCCTGCGTAGTCCAAACTGGCCTTGAATTCGAAATCCTACCAGGTGCTGCTTGTTTGGGGTTTCATTCCAGCGCAGCTGTGGAGTAGTTTGTTGCACATACCTGCCATTACTTTGTTTTTCTTTTTAATTTTAACTGTTCTAGAGGGCTTAAATTTTTGGAGTTATTGATAAGGTCGTGCTTTTGTTGGCCATATGATATCTTCTCTCCCGAAGTACCTGTTAAAAACTCTTAACTGTTGGGAGTAGTGGCTCACTCTAGTAATCCTACCTACTCAGGATCCTGGCTGAGATCTGAGGATCGTAGTTCAAAGCCATCCTGGGCAAGGAAAGGCTGAGAGATTCTCCAATAAGCCACTCAGAAAACCTTAAGTGGAGTATTGGCTTAAGTGGTAGAGCGCTAGCTTTGAGCTGAAGAGCTGAGGGACAGCACCCAGGCCCAGAGTTCAAGCCCCATGACCAACAACAACAACAAAATCTCACCAATTTTTTGGTTGTGATATGACTTTTCATGCTTGTAATACTGACTTTTTAAAATTTGGTACTGGGATTTGAACTCAAGGCTTTGTGCTTATGAGGCCAGGTGTTCCATAGCTGAGCTATAACTCCAGCCTTTTAATTGTTTGGGTTTTTTTTTGGGGGGGGGGGGACACTTTTGAATTTAACTTGATCTAGGGGTTGAGCAACTGCTTAACATATTCAAGGGCCTGAATTCCATCTCCAGAATCAAAAATAGTCAGGCCAGCCGCCAGTGGCTGAAAACTGAAAACTTACTCTTAAAAGTCTTCCAGCGTGCCGGTGGCTCACACCTGTAATCCTAGGTACCTAGGAGGCTGAAGTCTGAGGATCTTAGTTGGTTCTAAGCCAGCTGGAGCAGGAAAGGCCATGAGACTCTTTGTCTCCAATTAACCACCTGAAAGCCAGAAGTGGAACTGTGGCTCAAAGTGGTTGGGTGCTAGCCTTGATCAAAAAAGCTCCAAGAGTGCCGGCCCTGAGTTCAAGCCCCATGAGACTGATATCACCTCCCCCTCCCGCACTCCCCACCCCCCAAAAAAAAGTCTTCCTTGGCTAACATATTTTCTTCTGTAGTGTGTGTTAAGTTCAAAAAGGCATAGAAAATAGAAGATTCAACACTACCACAGGTTTATTGGGGAGAAAAATCTGTGGAGAGGAGCCTCTACTCAAAGCTGGAGACTTACTCTGATTACGATCAGGTATTTATAGTGCATATGGCATGTAGGATATTAAAATTGACAGCATTGTTAGTACTGTTAAGCTTTTCTCATTACCATTAGGAGCACAGGCACGTAAGTTTGCTTGGTATAATATTAGTTGAGAGGGTATTTGCTTGGCATAGTGTCTTCCTTCGTTATGTATCCCAGAAGACTTATATGCTTGGAACAGATATGTAGCAACAATTAACATTAAAAATTACATTTTTACATACTCATTTACAAGGCGACTATTTCTTTTCTTCTTTTTTTTTTTTTGGCCAGTCCTGCCACTTGAACTTAGTGCTTGGGCACTGTCTTTGAGCTTATTTTTTGCTCAAGGCTAGCATTCCACCACTAGAGTCACAGCACCACTTCTGTTTTTTTCTGTTTTTGTGGTACTGAGGAATCAAACCCAGGGGTTCATGCATGCTAAGCAAGCACTCTACCACTAGGCCACATTCCCAGTCCAAGGCGACTATTTCAAAGAGTGACATACAATCCAGACACTTAAATGAACTGTGACTTAGATACTGTTCGATATTCTAAGATTGACAAGCTCAGTAGCACACAAGCAGTTATTTCCATAGTCACAGAGAGCTGAGTGCAAATGCATTAACCTTGACCTTAGAAAAACCTTTAGATAGGTTTTGTGGGTTTTTTTGCACTGGTTTTGGAGCTTGAGCTGTGAACCTGTGTGCTATCTCTGAGCTTTTTTGTTCAAGGCTAGCTAGTGCTCTGCCACTTGAGCCACACCTTCACTTCTGGCTTTTTCTATCATTAATTGAAGAGTCTCACACACTTTCTTGGCCCAGCTGGCTTCAAACCACATACTCAGATCTTAGTCTCCTGTTTAGCATTAGACATTGGCACACAACTGTAAGCTTTAGTTTAGACCTGTAAAACATGCATTAAAATTGAG